TTTGTATAGAATACGCATGTACATGTTCATTCGATCTGGATGAAACTCCTTTACGGCAGTCATTAATAAAACGGTCGAAACAGCTCAGTGTTTGTCCACAAACACATTTCTATTTTTTTTTTTTCTCTTTTATTTTTCAGACTTTTTTCTCATAGGATAACACGTGTTTTCGTTCTACAAGTCAATTTTGGCTTTTTTTCAAATCCGATCGACTTCAAACCTGGCACACACTTAGACCACCATCTGAAGATGTGTGCCGAAACTTTTCGTCATGCTGACGTCATTACGTGATTTATTATAGAATTTTGAATATTTAATTTTTCCCATAGACTTTGTACACAGAAATTTAAAAAAAAAATGTCAATTTTCAGAGGGCATTTTCGACACTTTGCCAGTAATTCATTTACACCAATCTTTGTCCAAGCAAAGACTCTAATTCAAACAACATTGTGTAATGATGACGTCATGATGACGTCATCCGGTGTTTATTTATAGGCAATTAAATTGTGACAATTTTAATATTTAAAAATGCATAAGAAATCAACCGTACGCGTCCGCAGCATTCTGTTGCCAGCAAGTGGTAGAGTAGGTTGAGGTCTTTATTTCATTTAGTGTGCGTGAAATCACGTGACCCTTGCTTCCGGTCGAAAAAGGCCCAAACCGGAAGTGGCTTATTATTTGAAAGTGGTAATAGATATGAACTTGCTTTTAACGGTGTTAGTCTCTTGGCTAATAGTATTCTTTAAATCATCTACCGATGACGTCATGCAATCTTCGAGCGCCCTCTAGCGACAGGTTGAAAATTTTCAAAAATGTATTTTGAATAGATGTCTGTGGCGAAGTGTGTCGGAATCGCCTACATATTGGTGTATATGATGACCTTGACCCAGTTAAGACGTGTGCGAAGTTTAAGGTGCATGACATCATCAGACCGGAAGTTATAATGAAAAGACTCTTTTTCCTTAGAAAATTCCTGAAAAATCAACCATGGCAGTTTTTGTATTAGTTTTTACTTTAATTGTCTATTTAAGGGTAGGTCTAAAACATTTCAAAGCTTCGAGGCAATAAGCAAACTTGGATATGCCCTGCGCACGCTTAAAACTTTAGGTTGACAATAACTCTGCTATAAAACATCAAGAAGGACGTCCACAATGTACATGTACATGCACGTACGTTGTACATATCGTAGTCAGTCAGCCCGCGCGCAGCGCACGTGTTGCTGAGGTCAAATCCTGTCCACAGTGACCGTTTTAGCCGATTTCCGGCTAACTTTGACAGATTTTATGTTCATGCATAGTCAGGGACGTATTATTGATAAAAACAAATCATAATGCGGAAAAGCCCTATCTTCTGTTGCAAACAGACATAGATCTCTACTTATATGTCTATGGGTCCAACAGATAATCAATATTGGGAACAGCTTTGTGGTTGTTCACAACCACAATTTCTCTTTTTTTTTCTTCCACGTTTTTTTCTCATAGGATAACACGTGTTTTCGTTCTACAAGGCACTTTTGGACTTTTTTCAAATCCGATCGACTTTAAACCTGGCACACACTTAGACCACCATCTGAAGATGTATGCCGAATCATGACGTCATCATGACGTCATCACGTGTCACGTGACGTCATCCTAAAAGAGCATAATTTAAGGCCCTATATCTACAGAACCTGAAGTTCGATTTGGTTCAAACTTGGTATGCAAGTATTCCGGGACGTGTTATAGACGAAAATTGCAGTGATGTCATGATGACGTCATCGCGTGATTTTATATAAATTATTCAATTTTTTGACCTTTTACTTATATCTCATAAACGGAATGTGGTAAATTCAAAATTCTTTTTGTAAAAGGTTTGTTAGGTCATACATAGATGCACACAATTTCGTAAAATGTGTGACGTCATCATGACGTCATCAAAAACGTGATTTTTTTATTCACATATAAGGGTATGTCCGATCGTTATGAAACTTGGTGGGTAGGTAGGTATTGATAAAAGCATTCAAAATCTGAAGTGACGTCATCATGACGTCATCGTCTGATTTTTTATGACTTTTTCAAATTTTAATATTTTCTTCAAATTTTGCAAAAATTATACAAAATAAGGTCCGATCGACCTCAGAGAACCTGATGTCCGATTGGGTTCAATGTCGGTATGCAGATATTCCAGGAAGTGTTATAGACAAAAATTGCAGTGACGTCACGATGACGTCATCATGTGATTTTATATGAATTATTCAATTTTTGGACCTTTTACTCATATTTCATCAATGGAACGTGGTAAATTCGAAATTCTTTTTTGCAAAAGGTTTGTTAGGTCGTAGATAGATACAGAAAATTTCAAAAATGTGTGCCGTCATCATGACGTCATGAAAAAATGGGCTTTTTTTTGTACATAGGATAGACACTTTTTCTATAGAATACACATGTACATGTTCATTCGACCTGGCTGAAACTCCTTTACGGCAGTCATTAATAAAACAGTCAAAACAGCTCAGTGTTTGTCCACAAACACATTTCTAGTTTTTTTTTTCTTCTCCTTTTTCAGACTTTTTCTCCATAGGTTTAACACACGTTTCTTCTACAAGTCCACTTTGCCACTTTTTAAAATCCGATTGATTTCAGACTTGGTACATACTTAGACCACCACCCACAGATGGTCCTAGAAGAAATTTGTGATCATGACGTCATCAGGTGTCAGGTTACATCAAATTAAAGATGCATTTTTTCCCCATATGTTTTGTACACGTTTTAAAACACACCAGTTTGGCATCTTCGTAAATCCGATCGACTTTAAACTTAATTCATACTTAGACCACCACCCACAGATATTTCTAGACGAAATTCGTGATCGTGACGTCATCAAGTGTCAGGTTACGTCACATTAAAGATGCATTTTTCCCCATAGGGTTTGTACATGTATTTAAACGCTCCATTTCGGCACTTTCGTAAATCCGATCGACGTTACACTTGGTACACACTTAGACCACCACCCACAGATGGTCCAAGAAGAAAATTTGTGATCGTGGCGTCATCAGGTGTTCGGTTACGTCACATTAAAGATGCGTTTTTCCCCATATGTTTTTTACACGTTTTAAAACACTCCACTTTGGCACCTTCGTAAATCCGATCGACCTCAGTCTTGATACATTTTTAGACCACCACCCAAAGATGGTCCTAGAAGAAATGCGCGATCGTGACGTCATCAGGTGTTGGGTTACATCACATTAAAGATGCATTTTTCCCCATAGGGTTTGTACACGTTTTAAAACACTCTACTTTGGCACTTTTGTAAATTATGCGATCGACGTTAGACCTGGTACACACTTAGACTACCACCCACAGATGGTCCTAGAAAAAATTCGTGATCGTACCAATGCCGAGATGGGTTATAGATGAAAATTCATGTGATGTCATCATCAAATGTCATGTGACGTCCCTTAAAGGGGCATTTTGTTCTTCATAGGCCTATATTTACAGACCTATATGTTCGATTTGGTTATAACTTGACATGTACGTATAATGTGCTGTTATAGATGACATTTTTAGTGACGTCACTGATTGTTCATCACGTGCACAGAGTATTTTGAATATCCGAAACAGCTTGTGTTTGTCCACAAACACATCTCTAGTTATAGCTTTTTTTCATATTTATATCTTGTGTGTAGCCAGATGTATTTGAATTGAAGGCCTTTGGGTCACAGTTTTTAGGTAAACTTTTTCAGGCATACGACTCTGGCTTGCGTTCTTGGGTTGGTATTTTGGGATTTTCGTTGTTTGTTTTTAGGCCTATGCCGAATAAATAATAATAATAATTTGTCAGAGTTGTGATTTTTGGCGACAAACTTTGAATTGACTTGATTTGCCATTCAAACCATCGTTAATCACATATCAAGGTATGAATGGAATCTGAAATGTTTAACTGTAAGCATCTTTAATCATTTGGGGAATGTTGTTATGCTGCAGATCGCTTTGAAATACTAAAGTCGCTTTTTAGTCTTTGTGAAATTATAAAGAAACAGAAAAACATATATTTTTTTCACGACTGAATTGACATGATTGCCGCTCTGTTGTCATTTCCATATTATCCAAATATCAAGGCATGATTATCATATGACATGTTTAATTGTATGTATGTTTAATCATTTGGGGAATTTTTTTTATCATACTGAATCTCTTTGAAAGATTACAGTCGCTTTTTATTCCTAGTGAAAATATAACGAAATAGCAAAATATTTACACAGTTTGAATGACAATTAATTCAGCACCTGAGATATGGTAATTTTATGGTTTATTTTTTTTTTTTTTAATACTAACATCGATTTATTATACGAATTTGAAATGGTGGCAAGAAACGCACTGTACAATGGACGTCTCTTCAACCAACATATGAATGTGTTACTAACGAGTATGAACGGTGGTGGGAGGGCATTATAATGGGGGGGGGGGGGGGAGGTACCTGATCATTATATTTTTATATGTATTTAATCAATGGGAACAAGTATATTTAGAATGATAAAGTGGTGTTGGCAAAATAAAAGTGGCATATTACTGACGACGCTGAAACCTTTATCAAGTCCAGACCTGATTGACTTTCTTGGTGGTTGTGCAATTTCAACAGAGAGCATATCTAGCGATCTTATAAGAGCATAATTATCTTGATTAATGTAGCGGTACGCCAGTAAGGAGGTCCGCTCAAATGATTACATTTTAAGGACGCCAAGAACAACCCAAGACAAACAGAAACAAATCAAAGCAGGAGTCAAATTATGCTTGGTCTCATGAACTTGTTCACAAAAATCGATTACAATAGTTTAAATTAACACCTGATCTCAATTTTAACCTACAAAAACAACTGTTACAAAAAGTATTGATAAGATAATAGATTCAGTTTCTAGCTCTATAAATTGTGACACAGTTGCCAATGATAAAATATATTAAATCACAAAGTTTGTATTTCTAAAGTTCCCAGATTCAAAGTGAGGTTCCTAAGATTCACCGACGGTTCCCCGAACGCCTGGCCAGTGTACGGCTGTTGTGAACTAGGCCTCCAAATTGCACACTTTGGTGTGCAGGCAGAAAAGGGATGATATTCGCTCGTTTACGGCACTGAGTGCGCGTTTGTATACATTTTTCTGGGCTGTGTGCCAATTGTACGGTGTCTCGTAAAAGACGTCTCACTACATTAATTAAAACTTTATGCGGAGGAAAACGAAATGATACCATCAATCGAAAGGAGAGGAGTCAGCGTGTGTAGCCTATATATAGACGAATCTGGTCACGTGATCACTGTTCACACACAAGGCCCCCTTTTCAATCGAGGAACGATTGTGCATGCTATTGTACCAAGGCAACTGTCCCGTGACGGAGTATCTTAACAATAGCTAGCACAATGCTTTCGCCATTAAAGGGGACCTTCGTGATAGATACGACAGCATGCCCAGATTGGTCTATAGACTGCTGGACGGATACCGCCATCTTGGATTTTATTTCACAGTATTCTTTGATCACGTGGTTTTTTGGAGGCTCAGAGGGCACATCTCTGCCGCGTGTCACCTATCACACACGTTAATTTTTGCATAATAGTCACGTGACAATCCAATTAATCAAAGACGGCAGCATCTATGCAGAGAATTTATAAACATCCTAGTCTTTCTTTTTAAAACGGGACTTTAGATGGAATTTAAGACAATGCCATGATGCTTTTGTAGAGACCAATGTGCGTAAGTGGAATATATCAAAATCCCGACTTGAACATAGACTACATCATCCAAGTCAACAGGCCATGATGGCGATGTACACGAGGGTCATAAGGCCTTACTTTTCTTTGTACGTAGGCCACATTTGGCAGATGAACGGTTTTCGTACGCTGCACCGGTGATCGTTCCAACGTCCGAGGGTGCCACTATTGTTGATTTCTACGCAGTTTTCGCCTCGGCCTGCATTGTTTGGCTCAGGAGGCGGGAATGCGTCGTAGGTAAACGGAGACCCGTCCGTGTACTCAAACTTCCCCTCAGTGAACCTACACGAATAATAATGAGGTTTGAGTCTAGGTTTGAGTTTGAGAGGACATATGGAATGATAAGGTTTTGAGATGGTGGACACAATGGGCTCCGTACGCCAACTAAAGAGGGCGTGTTTTTACCATTTTCGAAAGCTCCGTGGACCATAGACATCTTATGAAACCTAGACACGACATTTACTGCTTTTACGTTATGAATAGTGTGAGCAAAACAGGCTGCGTCACGCGGCCTGAGACGATATGTTACGCGCATAAGGTACGCACGCAGCCGATGATTTCAAATAACGCGCGTATTGAGACCCCCTCTCTTGCGCGACACGTCCCGCCAATGAAGGGCGTTCGTGTAATAATTGACATATTCTACACGCGCAGCATTTTGCTCACAGACGCGAGATCAAATGTTGTGTCTAGGTTTTATTCATAGAGCTATATTACATTAATATAGCTCTGTGGTTTTATTAGATTCCTTTGCCGTGGACGGGACACACAGCGTGAGCGTACTGACTGTACTGTTCGCGCGCGAAGTACGCACGACTTCCTGAATGTGCAAAAGTTATTAGCCACAGTCAAAAATTATAAATTTCCAACGATTTTGATGAACAATTTTATTTCATGTTTTAGTGAGACAACCCTCTAGCTATGTGCCTCGCGCGAGTAGTACTAAGAATCTCCTTATATGGAGATTGGAGATTGGCGCGTGTATGGCGCGTACTGCGCAATGTGGCGCAAAACGCGTGTGAATTTAGGACTATGAAATACGGACCTAGAGAGTGACTAGGAGAGTGGCTGGTCACGTGTGAGGGTTTAACCAATAAAAGAGTAAAAGGGACCTAATTTCATAGGTGTCCACATTTCATGTGACACCGGGGAAAAAGTGTTTACAACCAGTCAGTGTTTTATCAACCGTTTTAAACCACCAACGTGACGGGCTCTCGACCAATAGGAATGGGTAAACAGTTTTTGGGTGGAGTCGTAAAGCCCTCAATTGACGTATTTTTGAGTAGGGGTTCATTATACAGTCAGGTTTCGAAATGCATATTCATATATCGTACGAATTCGTACGAATGCCGGTTAAAAGGGTTATATACTAATGTAGTACTTTGACCTCAAATTTGCATGTTGACCCGAAGTGGGCGTCGTAAATCTTGGTGAAGCAACTTTGCCTCATCTTACATCATCAACGTTATGTTTCGCGTAATAGCGATACGTTTTGGAGTTGTTGTTTTTTCATAGAAATAATGTTGTAATATTACGTCGCTATTCAAAGTGATAGCAGAAATGGTGGTTATGATCAGTGTGGTGATGGTAAAGATACGACGGTGGTGGTGAAGAGGATGGCGATGATGGTGATGAAGTTTGTGTAGATGGTAATGATGTTTATGGTTGATGAGGGCTGAGGCCTGTATGAATTTTCAATTAGGTATCATCTTTCATTCATATTAGCCTACGATAAATGCTTCTCACCTATCATTCAGACCAATCCACGACCTTGCCTTCCCAGCAAGCTTGCCAACAAACTTATTCTCTTTCACGCTGTGGATGGACACCAGTGATGAAGACTTGGTCTCATCTACCTGACTGCATGGGAAACAAAAGGCCAAATTAAATATGGTTCTAAATAGACAGCCGAACGCAACAACAGACTTAAGAAGAAAACAAAGTTCAACCAGTGCGACTCCAGAACATAGCTTGAAGGATTATGGTTTACTAACAAGCCTCGCCCACTTCTGAGGGAGGCGTCATTTCCCTTATCACGACTTAAGCTCCAGGATGACTTAAAAATGCTAAGCCTCTCTCTACCATAGTTTTGATACCGCTCATGTCGACAATTAGATCAGTACTGCATTGCATTTATACGCTGAACACAATAAGCAGTTATTTCGAAGTAGGCCCTTCCCAGTAGATTTCAGCACCATAGCTTCATCAGAGCTGGGTTTGGGGTAAACGCTCTTTTCATGCTCCGCCATTGGGCATGCAGAGCCGCGATCTGGCAACTTTACACAATAAAACTAGTCGGTTCAGTGATCTGAACCCCGACACGGGAATCGCTGAACCGGCTATATTTATTGTGTACAACGTTGCCAGATCAAGGCTGTGCATGCCCATGGCGGAAGTGTGAAAAGAGCGAATTGGAAAACTTTCAGCTTCACCTAGGAAAGAAGCCCATACATTTTGTAACAAACCGTGTTAAATTAGGCCAACTTACTTGCAAATTGCATCTGCCATTTGCCATTCCTCCTCCTGAGGGTAAAACCGGTAGCAGTAGTTGTCCATGAGCGACCATCCGTCGGGGCAGGTTGGGCAGACGCACACCGTTTCACTCCGGCAAGAGAAGAGCGTCAGTAGCAAAACCAGGCTGAACTGCACATTCATTCTATCCTTTGTAGGTTCTGCCTGCTGAACAAAACTTAGTTCAACTGTGTTACAATCTCCTGTTGATTTTGACTATTAATCAGAAGACGGTGCGCCACATCTATGGCAAGATCAATGTGACCTAAAACGCATCTCATTTTTTGGTTCAAAGAATAAGGTTTATCAATGCAATGGATGGTACAACATTGCTCGAACGTCAAAATACACACGCATAATGTTCGATCAAATCAGACCATGACGTGACCACGGCAAAGTTAATAATTCACTTGGAAATAGGCAGTTCCATGGTCATTTTGTTTCTTTTGAAACACTTGACCATCGAGAATGAACATTTTCTCCACACGTTGCAATGACACTTCCAGCTTTAACTGACATGTATTCATGCCGAGGCCATTCTTCAAACGATTTTACAAAACGCGAATCGCAGCTTTGGGTGGTGTTTTATTATTTGTAGCCGACAGGAAGTTCCAAACCACCCAAGTACATGAGATGGGAAACGTACCCAGGGGCAAGTGGCACACTTGAACAGTGATTAACAGCTGTATAGCAACAGTACGAGTGCCCTCCAAAGTTAATCGTTTACCAGGATTTTATTTCCAATTGTCTTCCACAATCTCCAACCGGTTTCTTCTATAATTTGTCTGTATTATCTACAATCAAAGACACATTATTAAATAATTTTCAATTGAGTTCACTTTTTAATTTTGTTTTAATAATAAATTCTTGTAAAGGATTTCCTGTAAACAAATTTATAGGACTATCTCTTTGATTCTGTGAGTTGGAAACAGAGATAGAGGTTGTGGCGTTGATACAGCTACAGGGAGAAAGCCGGCATACACAGCCCAACTCGGCACATAAGACCTCAAACTGGGTTATTATGGGTGTGACTTATTGTTTCAATAAAAAGCAAGGATTGACACTTGTCTTCTATCTAGACAATGGCGGTAATGGTTTATTGTGTATGGTGATCAAGACCCACCAAACCCGACACCAATTTAAAAAAACAAAACAAGATACACACCACATATACTCTCACTCCACTTAATACTCAGTATCTCATAACCAACCTCTGAAAATACCCATATTTGGACCCCGTCCAGAAAGAGCCGTTTGTAACAAAAAACAGTAACAATTTGATATGGTAAAACGAAATACGTACACACTGATATGACTTTTGTAGTTTCTCTAATTATATTATTTTTTTGTTCATTATTTTCTACACCGACTTTGAATTGGAATACACAGTGCCCTATACAAGAGAATGAAAGATCATTTGAACAGAAAGAAAAATATCCATGTCAATTACACTACAGAATATCGAAGATTTTGGTCATCTACCGGTTTCAGACCCAATAATGATAAAAGACAGGTCGATAAAATAATACACCTAATGGTTAATTAAGTACAATCTTTATACATGTTTGCTGTTGTTGTTTAAATCACGAATTACAAAAAAAAAGAGATGATTCTGAAGAATTATATTACAAGCTTATAAAACCGTTAGAAAAATTGGGATTTTTTTTTTTTACGTATTTTAACTTTTACGCAACGAGATGATAGGAATTTAGTACCACTAGGTTTAAATGCATGTACTCATTACATGTATTTCTCACACGCGTATAATGTACAAATATGATTAAATAATCCCCCTTTTATAGCATACTACTAGATATATACACCTCTACATGTATTGTACACAGTCATGCCACTTGTTCGGATATCTTTTTCGTTATGAATTGGACGCATGCGCGTCAGTCGCTCATTAAAACTTCCAACCAATCACCAGCAAGGCTGAGGTACAACAGCCTTGTGATTGGTTAGGAATACCCAGCAGCCGATCATATCAAAGGATTATCTTACAGCTGGGTTTAAATCAGCACCAACTTTTTGAGCTGACAATTTATTTGTAATTCTGTTTTACCTTTTTCAATCACACTTTTCTCATAAAAAGGGCAAGATCAAGATTACACTTTGACATAAAATGTAGGTCATATGTAGGTCAACTTTGTCAATTCGAAATAATAAGCACCGGTTAAGTTAATTTCCCTTTATTTGTTTAGATCAGAAAGTGGTCGCAACATTATGTATTTTGAAATTCTGCATGAACATAACCTACCAGTTGATTTGATGTAATTTATGACAAAGTGTTTCCCATCACAATTTGGAGAAACGAGGAGAGATCAAAATGATACATTTCCTGTAAATGTTTGTTTGTACCATTCATTAAGCTGGTACCACATTCTCGATGTCCTGAATTTTTTTTTTTTTTTTTTTTTTGGTTTTCATTACAGCCATGTTTTGGGAAACCAGACGTACGGCTAGCCAACTTGGTAAATCTCGCACGAATTTAATACGATGAAAAAGTAATAAAAGTGAAAGTCCTTCATTAACAGCCAAGGAAAATTAGGTAGCAATATGAGAGAAAGAAAGGGACCAATATAACTACAGTAAATCATGCTTAATAAACATGCAGAGAGTACCCCAAGATTCTGGTAAATAAAAACAAACTTCCTGCGCACACTAACGACCACACTAGTTACAAAGGGGAGTTAGATTAACATAGAGGTACTTTCCTCGCCTTCCAGCACTTTGACCCGAGTTCGATTCCTGCCCGGGCCAATATGTGGGTTGGGTTTTCAGTCCCTACCTGATTCCGTGGGTTTTCCTCAGAATAAAATTTCTTCTGGGGTTTTCCTCCCACATCTAAAACTGTAATTTCTTCACACTGTCTTCTCTATATTGGGCCCCATGGGAGACCAGTGGATTCCACTGAATGGGCTACCCAGTTAAAATAAGAATTAAATAAATACACACACTACACATCTGCCTACATATCCAGTAGCATGACTGCTTGCAAAAACACAGTAAACAAAGCTTACCACTGAAAGGTGAACAACAAATTACATCATCTAGATATTTGCTACCAATAAATATGACATTTTGAATAAAAGAGTGATGAATAAGTTATAGAACATTGGGTCCTAAATAAATGCTTTTGCTGTTTGCTTGTAATTCCTTGGATGTGATAGTATTTTATCACATCACGATTTATTTTCTATAATGCAGCTACATAGTATGAATGTGTGTAGAAGAATAAGTTCTGTGCATACTGATCTGCTGCCCTCTACTGGTGTAGTATTTAGTTGCCTTTGGCTTGTATTCACACAGTTTCACCTGTGAACAACAAAAGCGACCCAGGAAAAGGCCACGTGTGCATCTTATAGTCTTGAGCTGTTGTCTTAAGTCTTCTTCCATCATATGGAAACAAGTAGTCTTGGCTCAAGACTGGGGGACAAGCTGATAACAGATATAGCCACAGTTCTGGACACCTGTTTCGTACATGGCCAAAATGATATCACCTGGGCAACCTGTTCCTCAAGGCACTCAATCAGAAGTGTCCACTACCAATTACTGCTGACATTTGTGGTAAAAAGATACCTCTGATGAAGTTGCCTGTAAGGAACATGGACTGAGATCAACGTCATGGAACTGCAGTGCAGAATAAACTGTTGAGCAAATTTGATGAAATTACTCTTTGGCAGTGTTGAAGTCCAGTCCATCACAAGTCCATCACAGGTCCATCACAGTTCTTTCACTTAGCTTGTGATTTGCCAAATGTGACTGAAGAACTTTTGATGGACGTACGAGGACCTGTCAGGACTTGTGAAGGACTGTAATACAGCACTGGCCCTTGGAATGAGAATAAAACACATCCAGAAGTACATGCACATACTGGATACTGGCAACTAAGTCTGAGAGAAAATTATACAGTGTTTGAGAATATTAGCATTACTTAAGCGCAAGTGTATACGTTTCATACAAAACAGACATAAAAACAGACAGATTTGCTGAGATTAAAGATACAGGCTCTTCACATATTTAGCATAATATGAATATAAAAAGAAAGAAAGAATTCAAAATTTGGCTGATTGCATGTACCCATTTGTCAGACATTGAAGCCAGCAAAAAGTTTAAAATCTAAAATAAAAAAATGATATCTGAATAAAACTAAGACTTGTTTCCAATGACTTCAGCAGAATTGTTTGCTACCTAAGAAAATGTATATGAATGACCTTACATTTAGCTTAACAGAAAATCGGTCAGCAACACGTTTTCATAGTACTGTGCTGTACAGTGTGACTATTCATACATCTATATCACATGATTGCGACAAAGGCCTGAACAAAACTCTACAAAACAAAACTCCAAAAACAAAACTATCAAATCATATCAAAAAGTCTATCAAATTTGCTGGAGGCGGCTGAGTATCAAAAATGCAAATAATATCAAAACAATACATTTTGTTATTGTTATTAGTGAAAGCATCTATTTTTTGTATCGTTGCAAATCTACCAATATACATGTAATACTTACTAATATGGCAATATATTTGTTTGACTTTATAATTGTTCGGTACAAAAGGTGGCCAGCACCCTACTTGTAAGAAGTAACAGAAAAGGAGGCAATTACCTGAATGCAACTTGAGCAGGAGACCAAACCCCCCTTCCAAAAAAATGAGCCAAAGTTCCAGAACCAGATTTGATTACTAGAAGACCGTACACCTAATAAAGTTGTAAGTCCTCCAACTACCAAACTCTACTGAATCACAAGTCAAACTTGTGGACCTTCTGCATTTTACAATGCAAAATTATTTTTGATAATTGATCGTCAATTTAATTATGAATTCAAATCTTTTACCGTAGCTCTTTTATTTTTTTACGACACCGCAAGATTTGCCCTTAATACTGCAAAGCAGTTGTATATTTGACGATAGCCATCAGACACAGAAATCACTCCCTACTGATAGAGGGAAGAATTTTGCAGATTTGATATTCTTACTCGGTCTCATAAGCTTCATAAAAAAAACTAAAATGGGAAAGATAAATCAAAGATATTGCCTCTCTTCTGTTACTTGAAATAAATGCTTTCTGGCCCTTCCACCTTTTTTCATAAATGAAACTAGTTTATCAAAATTAAATTTTAATATTATATGACATATTGATCCATTGCACCATATCAACTGTGTATCTGCGGTCATTAATCGCATCAAATTTTCCACTTGAATTAAATAACACCAAGTAAAATGTTAATTTTACTTCAAGTTCAATTTAATCCATGATTGATTTCAGTTCACTGCAGGTGGAAACAAAAAACTTGACAAGGGTTCTTTGACTGAAAAATTCACTCGCTGATTAAAAACGAACGAAAAAACTACAAAATCATTCTATGTAAAAAAAAATTAACGACTTGTTTCCTTTTACGAGAGAATCACGCCAAGTGTTTATCAAAAATAGACGAGCCAATATATAATACTAGTCTGGAAAACAATTTTATACAAATCTAATCTGAGTGAATAAACAAATAAATTGTTTTCTAAAGCTATAATTATTTCCCGTTATATTGATCACTGTCTAAAATATCTACTCTTCTATGAAGCTTTGCTGCAACAAGCAGTGCCCCTATGGAGAATAATTCACAGACATGTAATGCGTACAATGCCATTCATTTCATTTGGAAATTATCAACACGGCAGAAATCAAACACAAACTGTTGGATAAATGCACAGTACACAGCTGCAATAATCACCAATCACATTCACAAAGGTACGCTACTTTTTGTGAAATATTATGAAAACCAGAATGCGAACGAAATATTTGCAAACATGCCCACTCGTATGCTAAGAACACATTTCATTTATATCGTCACTTTGATGGAAAGATGAAAGTTTACGTTAAAGTTACATTTGAGACGTCGCATTAAGAAGGCCATTTTTTCAGTATCAAAAATTTAGCAAGTGTCAGCAGCAAGTTTGGATGTTTTTTATCATGATGATATTAACTACCCCAATTGTATGTTCTTGCTATGCAGTTACTATCTTGCAAGGCCTTGGTGTGTTCTACGATGAATTCAAATCGATTTCTCTATCTTGCTCTCTGCTTTTGCCTCATCAAAAATAAAGGAACTGGAGGGGTACAAGCAAAAGGGTTTAACCCTAATGTTGATGTTGAGCTCCTCTGAAACTTGCAGGTGCACCTCATCACAGGTCAAGCAAGGTCATTCCAAGGTGACTGACATCAGGTCATTCTGAACAAGATCAGTCTCGTCAGTTGTGTTCTCAGATAGGAGAGCTGAGGAAGATCCTTTTTTGTTTGTTTCACAGCCCCTTGAGCATGAATCTGGCATTCTGTGAAAACATTACACTGAGACCTGTCTCCCATATATCCAAGGGTCATCACCTTCGAGAATTCTTGAGGTCATACCCCAAGGTCATTATGAGGTCATCACTGCTCGTAGGTCACACTCCTTGGGACTATCTCCATGTTGTTTGACCTCAGCATGGAGGGTACATTACTAGGGTCATGCTCTGGTGGTCAAAGTTCTGGAGGTCAAAGTTCTGGTGGTCATACTGGAGGTCACTCTCAGGTCATAGTTCATGCATGAGGTGAGAGTTCATGTCACACCTCAAGTTCAATCCTGTGGTCAAACCTCAGGGCACACTTCATAAGGTCGGCCTGAATATCTCCGTCTCCTCAGGTCATAGTTCAATTCAGAGGTCATTCTCCAGGTCATACTACTCTCAGGTCATATCCTGAAGTCACTCAGGTCATTCTCAATAAGGCAAACCTCCCGAGGCAGATTATTGCAATGTATGGTGTGTAATATCTCACAAAAGAGTCTCAACTCTAAAATGACTTATTTACTGGGCAGTAGCAAAGAGCTTCTTGGCAGCTTTTTTCTCTTTCTTCTCCCGGCTTTTGTGTTCCTTAGCGATGGCTTTCTTTTCTTTCTCCACCAGTGCCTTCATGTCTTTGATCTTCTTCGTGAAGAGCTTACGGTCAGCACCGTTTGTTACACCCAAAGTCTGCAACAGGGGCAAAAATTGTTTCCAATGTTCATTATAAAGAAGCAAAGATCACCATGAGCCCAGCCCGTCTTGATTTGTGTGCATTTCTATTGGCGCTTGTGACTGAGTTTGACCAAGATACTGTGGTCACCTGACCACAAGGTGTTTTCTGATTGGTCAATGCACAATGCTTGATTGACAGATAGGAAGTGTCATTATGGACTGTGTGTGTCCCCCCCCCCATCCCCCCACCCCAAAAAAGGAAGGCATACTCTTGAACATTAGTGTCGCCATATGCATGGTGCTTAAATGAAGACACTGCTTGTTGGTGTGTGGTATGTGCAAGTTCAAAACAAAAATATTTGTGCACATTTTTGGACATCAGTGCTCTCATGAGTGAGATGGAAGCCCGATCTTATGTTCATGCAAATAATCCATATCACTGGAAGTTTAGAGAGGGGCAGTGGCATGATTCAAAAACACAAACCTTAAGTTTGGCAGCATCTAGAGTAAGTAACGCTGGCCCGGTTATGTTGTTTGCTGTGAAGTCATTAATGTACTCATCCAGGCCATTACCCATCAGCCACTGGGACACATGTGTCGTGTTCCACTCTGTGATTGGGCGATCCTCGATTTGGTGGGGTTTTCTGCTGGGCTCCATCTGTGACACAAAATTGGGAACAAATTCCAGTTTTGTTACAGAAGCTCTAAACTGGTCTTGTAAGTAAATGGTTCTTGTCCATAAGCAAGCCACTTTGCAGCAACTGCTTATTGGAGTGAACTCATGCATTGATGCAATTATGTGTTACTTTTATCATTTATTCAATTGATCCGGTTGACGTAATCTTGTTGACTTGTTTTACATCGTGTTTGGCCTGTTTCACAATGCGTTTGGTCATTTAAAAATCGATGTTTTCTTTCGGCTTTTATATCTGGGTTTTTTTGTATGATGTACATTATGAGGTCTCATTTTGATTATTAATAACTTGATATTATCTTGACTTATATTTTGGTTTTATCTTTTGTACAGCGCTTTGTGGTTTTTTTTTAAATGGAAGGCGCTATAAAAGTGTTTAATTATTATTATTATTATTATTATTGTACTGGGCCCAACTGTAGAACATGTCAATATGTACCCATAAAAGTTGAATTGAGAATGCTTCCTGACAGTATTATGCCAAGGAAAAGCACAAAGTAAGGTCACTTCATACCACAGAGGTAGCTACAGTACCTCATGGGAGTGGCTTACAGCCAACCATACTAGGCATTTCATGGTTGACTGGATAGGCTTAGATCAACATGTACATGCCATTTTTTCACCATAACACACTCAATTTCTTACTTTTGTAAAACCAATATGGGGAATGGCCAGACAATGAAACACGTCTCCAACAGCGAGACTTCTCACGGTGTTTACCAAAGTTAACCTGCTTACCTTTGAAATGTATAGCACACATGCATCAACAGGATTGTGCAGTATAAGGCTTTATATACATACAGGTCACCGGCAGATACTTGCTTTCGCTCGCTTGAGGCAATGCCTTTTATCAACTACAAAGACTCCCTGAAATGCAGCCATGCAACACTGAACGCATGTGAAGCGGAACGTTGCCAGATAAAAAGATCCAATTTTGGTCAGTCTGCAAAGTTACTGATATGTACCTTTGAATTCTGATGGTTTTTTTTTCCTTTACAATAACGATAAGTTCGTAGGTGCAAAGTTTTACCTGGGAATAATTAAATTTCTCTGCACATGCCTGTCTCAATCTGTAGAACCTAAACTCACGAGTCATGTCACACGAGGCAAAGTCAGACTGATGGCACAGTTCATCTGACTTGCAGTGTTTTAGTCTGGTACATGACAAGTCATGGATTCCCAAGTCAAATCACAAGATATTCAAATGCCCTGTGACAAAGGCATTTTGTTATTCATCCTGTTTCGTGTCACCAGACTTGTAATGAACTTATGATTAATTACTACACTGCTGACTTGACTTATGATGACTAGCGAGGATGAGTTTCCTGTACTCACGCTCTGTAGCGGGGCCGATATCTGGTATTTAGCTGCCTTCTTGTTCTTCTTCTTGCCCCCCGTCTCACTCATGGGCATGGAGTCAAAGATGTCTGAGCTGGCAGCGACTGGTATGGGGCTCTTGCCGATATGTTTAAGCCCTTAGGAACAGATAACAAAAGAAATTGATTGCAAACTGATGACAAAACAGTGATGGAGCCTACCTTCAGCCAATTGATCATGCGTGATGGCTACTATTGATTAAAAGAAAGGATATGGCTTATGGCCCAATATACCAAATATTTAAAATTTCATTAACCCTTACCCTACTAGACCCTCCAACGCATGCCAATATGTGCCTCAAGAAAATCTCCTATGTTTTTTGCATGGCCCTCCAATATCTGCCATGTCATTTCAAGGGTAACTGGACAGGCACTCCAATACATGCCACAGAGAACAATGAGAGTCCTCTGATAACAAAGTGAGTGCCCCCAGCTGGTCAGTATCAGGCACCCTCCAGGGCCTCCAACTCCTGCCAATTGGAGCCTTCACAGTCAAGATAGTTTATCCTCCAATAAACTGCAGCTGGAGGGCATTGGCATAACCAACTGACATGCAGTAAACTACCCTCAGAGAGTAAGGGTTAATCAACCAAATATCTGAACAACTTTTTTTATTTAAATATTCGAACAATGTGAGTGATCTTGAGATGATGAAAATGCATGCATAAGTTGTGTGGTTTCATTGTTTGTCAAAAGCCACATATTTGTTGAATGCCCCTTCCCCCATGATTTGAGAGAATGCATGAGGAATATTAGCTCAAATGTCTTCTTAAAATCGGTCAAATATCAGCCATTCTGCACCCTATTCTATTTATTATTTGAATAAGCTCTTTGTCAGTTTTGACAAGCACAGGTGCGCACATTTGAATATTTGAATATTCAATTAAGTCCGAGATGAAATAATTGAATACTAAACTATGCACAGTCCTACCATGGCTAGACTATTGAGTGTACCGCATGGTTCACTTGTGAAGACAGGATAACTGCACATTCTATGAGGGTGGGAGTATTGTCTCTTAGATCATGGCTATGTTATGGCCATTTAGTGGTAAACAGCCACAGCCATAGTCATAGCCAATTGTATTGTTTCAGACACACCTTAAGAGACTCCCTTAAACTGTAGCCATAGCTATGACTTTGGCAAGCTTGTGGCTATGTTCCTATAGCAAAAAGCCATAGCCAGTATTGTCATTTTAAACAAAGCCTACAAGAACCCCACAGCATCATTGAAGATATAATTTTGCTGGAGGTGAAGACATTCTAAGAAATGTTTCTGAAAACATAATTTCACCTGCGTCTGATCTCTCCACCTCAGTGGTTCCCTCGATCCTTGGACTGGAAGGACTTGGCTCTCGCTGATGCTGACCACCCTGGCCTTCAGCCTCTTGCTCTAGTGACCTAGTGGAGAGTAAGGTCACGCCGAAACCCTCGGAGGCAGAGGCTGGGGGTTGAAGGCGTAGGATGGGCATGGCTGGGGGTAGACCGGACTTGGTGGTGGTACGGGGCGACGTCTGGCCTGACTTGCCTTCACTAGCTAGCTCTCTATCATTACACAGACCAAATAAAAGACAACATTTAAGAGACCAATGGCCTTTGTTGGAGGTTTTCCATTGATGAAATGTAAATATTTCCCTTTACAGATTATTTTCGCTAATTTACAGAAATTACTCATACGTTTATACAGAAATTATGTCAGGGAAGTTATTAAATCTTCAAAATTAAAAATTTTTGGGAGTAGATGGAGAGCTAAATAAATAAATGAGGGATAAATGAGGGCGTGGTTTTGTAGAATTTCCTGGCAATTTGAGATTTTTTTTCCGAACGTATATTGATTTAAGTAACAAAGGCAGGGACTTGAGTTGTGTTTAGTGTGTGCCTAAAAACAAGTGAAGCATGCAGTAATACACAACAGTGGTTGATCAAATTCATTATTTTATGAAGGAGGATGGATATGTCAATATAATTTAGTAATTTCAAATAAACACAACAGTCAAAACTCTATTTTTCAACCAAAATGGTGACTGTACAATAAATTGAAGCAATTATAATTTTAGCAGAAGTACACTAGAGCAGGGTTTGAAATTAGCAGTAGCCCACTAGCCAAATGCTAATCAAAACAGCGGCGAGCTAGTCAACCTATTCCTCAAGTAGCACGGCTGGCGAGTCAAAAAATTATTGGGTTATAGCAAAGATGAAAGGACAGGAAGAAATATATCATTAAATTCAGAAAGCAAACCTGTATCAATTTGTGTCTAATTTTATCAGTTGTTTTAAAGGTTCAATTATTAGATCTGTTTATTAAAATCACTGACAAAATTGCCTCAGAATAGATGAGAATCAGTTGGAAATGGGAAAAAACGAATTTTACTAATACAACCTATTTTCGTCCAAGGTCTCCTAGCTGGATCAAGTCGGTTTTCACATCGCGTACTTGCGCGAGAACGAATATGATAACGACTCCAACATTTACCTACGTACATCCTTGATCCCCCTGATTGCTTGTATTGTTTTGCTTATCTTCTTTTTACTTTGATGTATACATCAGGGGTGGGATTGGGTGGAAATGAACAATCCACAAAATAATCAGCAGAGTGTTTGGGGGCCTCTGAGGGCCCAAGAGCAATGTACATGTAGGGTCTATGGTATATGTATGTATTAGCCTTATAAGCTACCCCTTATTAGCTGTTTCGGCAAGTCAGCTGAAACAACTCTTGTTTTTGTTAAGATTTCTTTACCTGCTATAAGCATTCATCGGCACAGAGACCTTTATGACAGAATCTCACAAATTCTAGATTTTAAAAAATCCCGACAAATCTCACCCCAGTTACATGTACCTTCAGTGACTTTCCAGCCTTTCTAAAAGGCGACTACTACTACATTAATAGAATACTCCAGACTTGGCATGCTGCAACAAAACTTCATGTTGTTTGTTGACTGAATACAAAGTGTTACATAGATGGGAACCAGTGTAAAAAGGTTCAGACGTTTTGTTTTCATGCATAAAAGATAAGGCCCCCCCAAAAAAGTCTCCGGTTTCTGGTATGGAGCTTGCCCAAATAGTGGTGCGGCGACGCGGCTTTTTTTTTTTTTAACCTGATTTTTTTGCTTCAAATGCCGGCTGATGACTGCAAATGGTGCCCGACTAAACTTAGTGCAAATATATGGGAGTCCAGAGAGGCCACATAAAGCTTATTCTCGACCATAACCCAATCTAAAAACACGTTAAAATTGTGCAGCAGCAGGATTCCAGTCAAACCAGTGAGTTTGGCGGTTTTGAGACATCATCTTTCATTGAAAAAAAACTTTTTCATTTTGCCGACGCGCATGGCTACGGCGACGCGCGCGCATACCAGAAACCGGAGACTTTTTTTTTTTGGCCTAAAGTGTTTTTTTTTAGTGGACTATATTTAAGTTGTGATTTCGAAGCCCTTCTGTAAAATATTGTGGGCACTGAGGAGACCTCAGGCCTAAAAAATAGATTTACATTTTGCAGATTCTACTTTCAGATTAAATTTTGAATGTGAACAGCAAATTCAAATCCCTTCAATGATGATCACAAAACAATTCTCAAAGTTGAAATAATCAACAGTGTTACAGGGGCTTAAAGAACCATGATCTCACGTCGGTTTAAAATACAAAACAGAAAGTTCGTTCTTTCTCTAATCTACATCTAAAACATCCAACATTCACTAGTACATCAAAATGAAAGGTCATATTCTGATGACATGATTGTAACAGAACAGCTACAACATAAAACTTACTACCTGTCATCAAAGAATGTAATGACAATATCAACTTTCCTACAACAGAAACTTTGGTTGCATTTTGGCTGTTCCAGTTAGGATACAATGGAGAATTAAACATTTTATCACTTTATAAACAAGGGCATTTTTTAAATTCATCTTCCAAATTCCTCACTTTTTTTTAAAAACATTTCTATCCTTTTTTATAATTCCTAGTCTAACCAACCAAAGCTAAAGGTATAATGAACATTCAAAACATGCTTCAATAATCAAAACATCATGAAAATTTAAACGGAATGGAAACTTAAAGAGACAAGGAGAGTATCAAAACTCTGAAGGAATTAGAAAGAGAGAGGAGTTGAACCTAAGGAGAGATGAAAGAGGCACAGGACAGAAAGAGGCCAGCAAAGGTGATACTTCAAGACAACTAAAGAATTGTAGACTTCTGTGAACTGATTAGTCATGACTAGAGTTTTTAACAAGTTCTAAACTCACCAATAAATTCAAAATAAGCCCAATAATTATTCAAAGTCAACCTTCAAGGGTGCGGCGAAGCCTCGTAATTAATATTAGTGCAAAAGACTTATAGTTGTGAACAATATTATGTGCGCAATTTTTAAATTCTTATGAGCTGTTATTTCCAATTCACATTTAAATACTATAAAGTATTTTAATAGGATTTGAAAAATGGGTCAAGAAACTATAATGACATTGTTTTTGGCTTTTTTCCTTAATAGATGGATGGACAATAGAGAGATTTCAGAGATCTGTATATATCAAGAAAAACATGCATCATCCATAGAAAGAAACAAAACGTTGCAGGCATCACGATCATCTAGACAGCAGGCCCTACAAATGAAATAAAATAGTGTCCTTTCAAAATGATGTCATGTACTCAAAATAAAAAAAAGGATGGTAAGGCCAAAAAAAAAATAAGTCGGTCTCTGGTCAGCGCGCGCGTCGATTTTAATCATGCGCGTCGATCTTTTTTTTTTCCAAAATGTTCCACGGTAGCTCCAACAGCGCCCTCTATTTCCGCACCTCCTCAATTTATTTTTACCAAAGAGCACCAAGGAATGGGAAATTGCACCAAGGCAAATGATCGAAAGCACCAAGGCAAATTATGGAGGGCACCAAGGCAAATTATGGAGGACACCAATGTACATGAGGACACAAAAAAAGCAAAAAAGTACCCCACCTTGTCTGTACAATCCAAGCTTGAAGAAAAAAAAAAAAGCAAAAAAAAAAAAAAAAAGCCGCGTGGCCGCGTCAATTCCGGAACTTTGGTCTGACCAGAGACCGAATAGTTTTTTTTTTTTGGGCCTAATCACGATGTTTGTACTTGGATGCATAGATGGGAGACGGGGTACCTTACCTGATTAGCTGTCTATATACGGCATCCATATGGAAATCTAAAGGACTGCTGTGTTTGTCCGTCCCCAAAATGAGAGATTTCAGGAGGGGTTGGGTGTTATTTTAATATTAAAATATTTACGAAGAGAAAAAAAAATTCTACAGGGGAATAACATTTTGATTTTTCTGCGATTTCGGTAATAAGCCCTTCTGAAATCTGAGATTAATTGAAACAAAAAGTAAAACAAAGAGAACATTTTATACATCAATACAAATTATTCTCCTTTGTTGCATACACATCTGAAAATGGAATTACGGAATTGCAAAACAGAGGCTATTAACTTCACCAGCTCTGTTCATCCATACAGGTGAAGCACTTTTAACCTTTTGTATTGTATATAAATTACCTTTTGAATATAGACCTTATGCGTTAAGGCAGAGTCAGAGGGCAATGGTTTTGTGTCCCTATGATAAGCATGAGTAAACCTTGTGTGCATTCATTGTTACTTAATTAACATAACAAAGAACAGCCTGAGAGACCCCTGCAATGCATAGGGTCGACACTGACAAGACTCCATTTAAGAACACTTCACTTAATTATCTATCTCCAGTAAATAAACATAAATAATGATTTTCAATCATAAAATAGAAGAGTATTTTCTGTTTTGATGGTTGTGTAAGTAGATGTCCGAAAGAGTAACTAGAATTCATCGTGTGCCTGGCAGAAGGGCGTATGTGTGTACGACCTTATGTGCGAACGCGTTATCACCAAAATGTTCCCAGGAAAAGGGCATATGCAGAAAACTGCAAATATTTTAATGAAATTTAAATATTTCTGTCGGAAATTTATACAAGTTGTTCCAAAAAATACGATTTATATTTGTTACAAATTTCAAATTCAAACGATGTATAATACGCGCGGGGGAACACAGGAGCCTTTCAATGCAATTTTCTTGAAAGCGATTTTTGCGTTAGAACGTTCATTTGCCCTTTTGCCGGGCACCCGACAAATTCCTGTTAATGTACTCTTAAGGACACATTTTTCGTCGCATCTTAGGGAGACACTGCGCATTTTGGAGACATTTCAATGTCTCCCTAATGTCACAATTCCTATCTAGAGGCAAATTGTTAGTGTCGCAAATAGGCTAGATTGATTGCTCGTTGTCCAAAACATAAATGTACCAAAATTTGTAGGGGTAAGATAGGGAATAGTTTGGGTTAGGGGTCATTACAGTTGGAAAAACCATTTCCCGTAATAATAATATAAACTGTAATCAGGACAAGATAATAATTATCTTTCCAAAAAAAAAAAAAAAATACCTAAAAGATTATAAAACAACATCAACAAAAACACACTCAGAAATATGGTATAGCTGAGGTTTTTAAACAAGGATAAACTAAAATATCTAAATTATCAAATAGGAAAGTTTAACACACAACTTGGAAAACAGCCATGCTCACCAAACAAAAAGGAAAAATAATATCATGCAAAATCAGGGGGAAAAACAATCACTTAAGGGGGGAAATTTATGCTAGAACAAAAACAAAGATGATTAGAAAGAGGACAAAAAGGGGAAAGAACAGCACTGGTGAGGCAAGGCGGCCATTTTGCGACAAGGTTTACCTGCGTATCCAGGGGCTGCAAGTGAAGCTGATGATAGCCATGTTAAGCAATTTTTTTTGCAGAAAGATGCAAAAAGATGAAGAAAAACAGAAGAGAAAAGAAAAACAAGGCGGAGGAAAGAAACAAGAAGAAGCAAATCAAGAAACAGATTTTTTTCTTTACAGGATACATTAGGGGTTGAAATTAAAAAAAAATGCAAATCATTATTGCAACAACCAAGAAAAACTGGCTCAGTTTGAATTATTTATTCATTCGCTTGAGATGATGCAGTGCCAAAATAATCTTGCAAAACAGACAATAATAAAACAGCTTTAGAGGTACAGCACAATCGTTCAATTAACCCTAACCACCCCAATCAAAATCCAACTGCATGTTTTGTTGGAATCTGTTGGAGTGAGTACTGCACTAGTAACTGATTATGCTTTACATGGGGTCAGGCATACCACCATAATCAGAGTCCAACAGTTTGGGTGTTGAGTTTACCATATGGTGTTGGATTTTGCAAGAGTGAGGAAGGTTCCTAGTAAATCACTCAAGGGGGTTAGGGTTTGAAGTTAATTTCTGTGATGGTTGTCATTTGGGACACTAGAAATGTGACTCTTCAAACACTGACTAAGTTTGGTTTGTTTTGGAAACAATTGATTGTAAAAGTGGAATTGTTAAAACCTGAAGACAAGGACATAATTTGTCATGCTATTAACAGAATGTCTGGCTTGCCATGAACTCAAATGCAACATGATGCAGCAGCGTTAAAGATAAAAGCCTGCGGTCAGCTTTGACTGCTTAGTTCCTTACAAGCAGTTACTGATAACTAACTGCATATTCCTCGCATTTAATATCAAGTAAATTACTTTGAAACAAAATTGGATATTGTTATTTTACACATGTTTCAGATGAAGAGGCAAATTCTTTTAAAGTTACTTATGATCAAAGTAAAAATGTGATTCATTCCACAATCCTAAAATTGAAAAAAAAAGTCCCTTTCAGCAAAAACACAAAATGCAGCAACACAAGCCATGAGGTGATAAGAGAAACGAAACGTGATCAACTTACGACGATTCACCAGTTGTGACCCGTATATCCGGTTTACTCTTCTGTTTTGGAGGCACTTTGGGTGATGATCTCCCGTCCCCAGGTTGCACTGTGGTACCCCCCGGAAGCACCTGAACTCTGGTGGAGGTAGGAGAGCCCCGACTGGCCTGTTCTCTGTGTCTGAGCAAGGGGGAACCATTCATAGGCAGATTCGGGACAGAGACCGGATGTCTTCCTTGTCTGGGGCTTCCGTTGCTCGTTGGATGCTACAAATGGAGGGGAAAAATAATCACAAATTTGTTAAGATTTTAGTCTAAATTAAGACAGCATGCTGTGATTCTTCTCATGCAGTTGCTTGGTCAGGCAACCTTGCAAACCTTTGGCTGAATGCCGACTCACAATCGACGGTTTGTGATTCAGTTGATTAAGCAGCTTCTCGCACAGAAAGTCAAAGCAGAAGACTGAAGGCGGCCTGTCGCATTTCTACATCAGGGAATAAAAACATTGCACAAAACTTGGACAAACAACTTACACTGGATGGGTTAAAACTCATGGGACTTATAACAATCATTTGGGTGATTCCGGTCAAACCCAGTTAAGCCTTAACACACGCATCCAAAGTTATGACATAAACGGCAAAAACTTGTTCTATATATATTTTTTTTAATTGAACAAATAGCAGCTTTGAGTTTGATACCTGAGAGCAGAAGTTTGAATCCAACGTTAACTCCCCAACACACAACGCAAACACTTTGTGAAACTGGAAACAAGTATTGTGATGCAGGAGGAAACAGCCTCTCCGACACACAAAGTGAATTCATTCCTAACGTCCAAGTAATGTTTAGAGAGGTGCTCTTAACTTCATACCAGTTGGGATTAAAATCAAGAGTGACCAACAACGCTCATGACGTACTACTAGTTTCTGTGTTTACTTACTGCCACAGGATTCCAACTTTGACATCCTGAACCCCTAGCTTAAATTGATTTACTTCCATAAAGGACAGAACGCTATGAGTCATGACTGAGGTCAAAGGAAAAACAGGCAAAAGTACATGTATTAGTCAGTTTGGAAAGTGGACTGGTTTTGATTTAGAAGGATGAACCAGAATTGAGTCAGGGGGTTTATATTTTGATCCAGTTACCCCTATTATGGGCTCTGAAAGGGAAACATCTCTTGGAGTTTTGCCAAATCTTGGCTTTATCTACAGCATCAAGGGATTTCTGGGTCTGAGACCTGGGTCCCCAGCTCAATATTGGCCAATTTTCTAGCTCAGGAACATTATATTCTACAATAGTTTCAACATTTGAGAGTATTCCAATGGGTTTGATTTATTAAAGCTCCAAAAGTTATTCTTGGGCCTGAGCTAAAGCAGAGGTTTGAAAAACCACATTCTTTCATATGCAAAGTAAAGGTGAAACATAATTGATGAGAGGGAAGTCTAAATCACTATTACGATAGGTAAACCTTGTTTTCAAAGTCAGCGGTCGGTATGATTGACGGGGAAGTCAAAGGGTGAAGTATGTGTACACAAACCAAAAAAGGTTTTAATGATGGTCGACCCGGGCAAGCTTGGTGGTCAAGTAGTTAAAACACCTGCTCTAGAAAGCAGGAGGTGGTGGGTTCAAATCCCACTCAGACAAGCTTGCGACAAGCTTGTGACAGCACTGAGAATATACCCCTTACAAACTGACGTCATATTATGATCAAGCTTGGTGTCCATTACCTCTTCTGTGATCGGCTGCTTCATGATCAGATTGCCAGACTGCAATGCATTCTGGGCCAGGTGGGCTTTGGTGGGTTTCTTTCGGCCGGCCAGCATGCTGTTGTTACCAGTGACCAGCTGTATCTTAGATTTCTCCATGCTGGTATCCAGCATGTCGGTGTCTGGAATGTGCTCAAACCACTCCTGCTGCTGTTGCTATGGAGACAATCAATTGGGCGGGAAATGAGGTCCTGATACGCAGTGACAAATAAATTGTGCTAATTTACTTTTTGCTGTTATCACCACTGAGATACAATCTTCAATAGGGGAAGTTCCAAAGTGGAAAATTAAGTGGAATATAGTCAAATTGTTCAGAAATCAAGAGTCCATCATTATTTCTAACTTAAGAACCGCCACTATTAATAAACAATGAGATAAATAACAGGTTCCGGAAAGCCAATATGCCAAACCATTACCATAATGACCAGTATTAAACAAACTGTGTAGGAGTGACATTTTCAATGAATACGTCACAAGAACAAATGCAAAGTTTTCGAATTGTTTGACCTACAAAAGTTCAATGGTGACATTTGATTGCGCATTGCAGGTGTCTCTTTTTTTACACGACCCACGCAAATCCATTAGAAGTCATGCATCAATTGAATGTCAAAGTCTCTTGTATTGACCCACACAAATCCAAAAACGACTGATAGTGTACTGTCTGAAATGTTAAGTTTCCCCGGGCTCTTTTTAGAACCTCACAAAAAAACTTGTCACATGGTGCTACCATAAATTTGTACCTTAATCCATAAAAGAATTAACGTTATTTATATGTAAATGTTGAATGCAACATTTGAACAAAAAGATTTCTTTATTTGACCAAAACAAATCTCTTGAACAACTTGCGTCAATGGCCTGTAACATTTCTCCTTGTAACCCACACAAATCCATCAACTGAAATGCGTCATTCAAATGTAAAAGTCTTCTCTTCTTATTGGACCCATGCCAATCCATTAACGCTACTCCAGTCTAAACGTTCTCCCACATTCCTAGATGACCTATCTTCAATGACTCCCCCATACACACTTATCTTGGCAATCCCCCACCCCCCCCCCCCCACACCCTCGGGCAGTTTCCTGACTTCCGTTTCGTATCTCTCCAGACCGGAGACCTGGCGTGATAACACACATGTGTATATGAGGACAGGCAACGGACCCATGTTTCTATTATCTTATTGGTTGCTATGTCTTGGCTGTGCCATCTCCCCTTTAGTTTGATTGGCCTACTTCTCCTGCACACTCATGCATCATGATTAATGCAGCAGCGTACTGGTACACGCGTAGATATTTATATTAGGTTGAACCCTACATCCTAGGTTAATCTGACAATCGACGCACTGGCTGTTATCAGATTTGAAATGGCCTGCCATGGCCCATCATTTTGAGTCAAGTGTTCAGACTAGCATCTCACCAGCATGTGGGCTTCTTTCAAGTCAGCCTCTAGACTCATCTCAAGCTCAACCTCCTCCAGGTCCTGCGACACGTCGTAACCTCCCTCGTTTCCTGAAGAATCTTCGTCCTCTCCATCCTCCTCATCTTGCCCCTCCGACTCTGCCTCCCTGTCCGGATGCACCTCCTCCACCTTAGTGGGCGGAGCCTGAGAGAAGGTCCTGCTGCTCTCCAGAGGGATGATGGAAGCTGTGGTAAGAAATTCAAAAACATGATGTTGCGACTTACATTAAACCCCTGGCACCGTTGAAAGAGTTGTTGATCAATTTTGCTTAGACCTGTTTATACAATTGGTTATCATTCCTGTTGATTTGGCATTGGTGTGTTTTCATGATCTGCTAACCACAAAATTATGTGCTTAGATTGCCATTCTGTGTACAGCTTATTCACTAACTCAGTTATTACCCGATCCTTTGTTACTGGATGTATGCAAACGTGCAAGCTAAATTCCTTGTTAACCTGTGAATATGCTGGCCGTACAGTAAATATATTTCATCCAAGCACAATGTACATGTAGATGTATGCCAGGCATTTTTTTTCACTAAATGGTATGCAGAGCATTTGAATTGGGCCCAGGTCTTGTGAACATATCAAACGTTATGGTGCCTGCTCGAATTTCATCTGATTCTTGCAGATTTTAATAACTAGTTTTCATTAGATAATGATTCCTGTTGATTTCGTTAGGACTGTTGCAAGCCTTGATTACGGCTGCATTACTCCACTATGGTCAGCAGCAGTGCAGTGTCTTGACGTCAGCCGCTTCCAAAGGTGCATGTACACGTATACTTGCACCACTTCTTAATATGGATGCTGCAAATAACTCCTACAGGCTTGGCAATGCCTCTCACAGATTTTAAAGGCATACCTGACAATGACTCTTTGATGATTTTGATGAAAATAAGTCCTAATACGAGTAATAACAGTCTGAAGCAAGTGATGATAAAATTATACTTTAAACCACTGAGGTCTAACTACAGGTCGATCAAATACAAATTAAATGGATTGAGACTACCAACTACAACAGGGGGTGGGATGGGTGGGGCTGGGGTGGGGTGGGGTAAGGGCAAGGTACATGTAACAGAGGGAGGCTTTCAATGGGAATATACAAAATGGAATATTTGTTAACCTACTAAATGAAAAGAAAGAAGCAAAGGAACTTTGATATTTTCCAGACAACTTTCACCGATCACATGCAAAATGAATCAAAAAGGGTTTTCAAGCCAGAAAAAAAGGGAGGGATGTTAATCTTCAAGACTTCATGCAAAACAAACATGCAGGTGCGAATAAAAAAACTAAAAGCCAAAACAGACAAATCTTTCTGAAGAATACACATCCTACAGTGATTATACAAGTTAATTTGATACAAGCAATTCTAGAATGTTCCATTCTTGCCGTCATATTGTGAAAGCAATTGTCATTTGGATAGAACTAACAATCTGACAAAGACATGCAGAGGGAGTTGATTTTAAGGAGCCATTTTCAATATTTGGGAGCAATTCTTTCCTTTGCCAAACTCTTGCGTTCTTATACCACTTGTTGAAAGAGTGGTTAGTGCTGTGTACTCCCAGCTACACCTGCTTACTTGCAAGGCTTTGATTGGTGCAAGGTGAACGGTGGTGAACTGATGATTTCCACTGATGATTTGCTTGACAAGCGGCAATAATCCACGTCCACGGGTACATCTATAGCCCAGGGGAATCAATGTGCATGAAGTGGATACCAGACAGAAGGAGAGCATGTAACATTTACGTTATCAACCGTGCAATCAGTGAGCTGCGCGTCCCAAGCTATTACCCTGACATTTAGGAGCAGCGACTGACCAATTTGCAGGGAGTAATCAGACCGGTGTCTTCTTCATAAACTAGTTCACAAACACAGATTCCTAGGCGTCAGTGTTCTTGGACAGGCTTATTTACTGGGGCATACAAGGAATCTGTCATTAAATCCTAATCAAACCTAAATTGTATCATTTTCTTTTGGAAGGCTTTGAGTTGACTACACTTAGAGGGAAGGTTGATTTGACATCGGTTGAGTTTGAAATTGAAATACAAAGTGCATTGGATAATTAGTTTGAAATGCCACACAGTGTAATTTGATAAGTTTGATGTTGCAGGGTTTTTTTTTTTGGAGGGAAGAGATTGGATAAGATGGATGAAAAAAATGTGTTTTCAATTACATTGGTTCACTTAATCTACAACATAATTAATGTTGGTGTACTATCTGGGTTGACATTTTCAACATTATTTAGTTCATACAAAAAAGACAGTCCAACCTTGAGGTCAAAGGTTACGAATGACAACTAATTGTTTTCAATATTAAGTGAGTATCAAATGAGGAAAAAATGTATTTAAAATTTAAATAGAAATCCAATTATCTTTACTGGATTAACTTATGAGGGAAAAAGGTCTATTTAAAGTTAATTTGATTAGAATTGTCCTACTTTACATATCAGTAGAGGAACCTGTCAATTAATTGAGCTAATCAAATCCCTAGTTTTGCATTTAGATTGGGTGATACGATCCATGGATCAAGATGGCAAGGTCCATTCAAATTGGGGGATTGGAAATTAAGAGCGTGGCATTATCGAGTTAAGAAAAATCCTGCCTGCTCCACATGTTACTTAAAATAAAGTTCATCTCCATATGAATAAATAAAAGCATTCAGTTTAAGTCTAAGATTGCCTGGGATTTAATGATTAAAGAGCTTAACAGTTTCTTATTTGCTGGTGGGAGGTATTTCATAATACAAAATCACACCTGTTTCTTTCAATATGGAACATTTCAAACGAAAAAAAAAAATTATTAGGCCCAAATGGGAACAAGGTAAGCAGTTTCATTATTAGTCTGTTAAATTGGTGGTGATAATAACGACAGCTCAGGCATAAAACATGCAAATGGAAGTCACAAAAACTACACATTTCCAAATTTTCTAAGACTGTTGCACAATGTTATTCAAGTGTTTGATGGCAAACATGGGATATTGGAAATGATGGATTCAGCTGATCCAAGAAAATAGTGCATGCCACAGACTTTCGACTTTCAACACAAAAACATCTAGAATGCAACACGACGACAAAGAATGCGAGAGAGAAAAAATAGAGTGTTGGCGAGTTCAGCTTACCACACATTAACTGGTCACCGTCAAAGTCCCATTCCCACTCAACTACAAATATAAATACCGGTGTGCGTTGGAAGGGAAGTGAAAGAGAGGTAAAGGGCAAGAAGTGAGCGGAAATGATAAGCGAAAAGACCGTAGGAGATTGGTTAAATATGAGAATGAAAATTGACTAATACGAGACTAGTAGGTGCAAGTGAATGATGAATACCCAGAAACCATAAAAGTAACTAAAAGACTCATCTACTCCAAGGGTTTTCCGAATCTGGCCTTGTCTCCGGTTTTTGCCTTCATCTCTTTCTTCAGAATCATTTAGAAGTTTTGAAATGTCCACACTAATTGGAAATACTTTAAGATGCGGCCTCATATTAAAAATTTGACTTTCCTTCAACAGAATCAATAATTGAACCATGGCCACAAAAAGTTGGAATCCTAAATATCTCCTGCAGCTGATAGTATTCAAGAACTATGATCTCAAGGGAATGCTTTTTTGTTGCTGTAAATTTATAGGGAAACTATGCACAGATTGTCGAGGGTAAGGTATGCCTGCTGCCCTCTGGTGTTCAGAAATGACCAGGTGTAAGTAAAGATTTCACTGCCACATCAGAACTGTGTAGGCCTACCGAATATCAAAATAAAGTCCACGAATGAAACAACCTCCATGCACTAGTCATGTCTCAATTGTGAAAGACTGATGTGGATTTAGCCATGTACAAGTTAAATTGAATGATGTTGATATTTTTGTTACAAATACGTTTATCACATTTGGGTATGGATTTCAATTCCTCAGATGTAAAACACTGTTGCAGGTTTGCGGTCAGCCAAAAAACAATCACAAGTCAATCACAAGTCAATCACAAGTCAATCACAAGTCAATCACAAGTCATCCAGTCTCAAGTTACAAATTAAGCAACTTGTTTTTCTAAGATCACTGCCTATATTACTTGTGAGTTGATTACTTCAGTGCAAGTCCGATCTGTTACTGTACCCATAGAGCTGGGTCCTAGCTTATGTTCCATATGATATGAGGGTAAGCCACTGGCTGTGTATGAATTGCCTATGGCTGGCAGTAACACATGTCTATGGGAAGTGACTTAGCCATAGCCATATAATTTTGGACGCAGTTCAAATGTACCAGGAACCTTCTGCTGTTGAATATTCATGGTATTTGTGGCAACTCTTGAGCAATGTGACGAGTATTTGTGTTGGACTTCTTATGTTATCGTGCAAGAGCTTGCACTAAATCATGTGATACAGCAAAAATGTCTTTTCAGTCGATTTAATTCAAAATGTCAACATTTCAACAAGAGTTTCCAGTTTTATTCAAAGTTGAATCACAAAGGGCATAGCCTCATACCAGTTTGCTTGCAAATGGCTTGTTGCTTCTAATACTTGTCATGCAAAGATTCCCAAACATCTACCCACAAATTGTCAGCTACTTTGTCCCTGGGGAAAGAGCCACTATGCTGACATGCATGAACTGCCGAGAATACTTTTTAAAACCTACTCCAGTCTGGTTTTTATTAATGACTTCTTAAAATGAGAATGGTACATTTTTGTGCATAATAATAGATTATTTTCGAATATGTAAAGGAATCTGTGAGAAATCAATCAAGCAACGTTTTTTTGGGCCCAGCCTCCCCCAAACAAACACACTATACACCAATTTACATCATATGTAAGCTGTGAATAAATCTTTAAGAATGTTTGAACTTATATCATTAATTTGTGTGAGATGTGCACCTATATGAAGGGTTGAAAGTTAAAGGTGCTCTCATGTTCTGTAAATGAACTAATCAATGAATATACATGTATGTGAGCTAGGCAGGGAGTGGAGATGAATGCCTGTTGGATGAAGGTGGGAAATGGAGGGGCGGAGTTTGGTCTCACCTTCGGGGGAGTCATCCATGAGGATGGCTTTGCCACCCGCTGCATCCAGAATCTCTTCAAAGGACGGTAAGCCAGATTGGCGGATCAAGATGACACCTTCATCTGTGCAATGGTTTTGAGGGGAGGCGTTCACATAATGCATATTCATGAGAGGGCGTTGCCTAAAGTAACCTCGCATGTATTAATCATGGGGAATTTATGTGAATTCATTAACCAATACTTGCAGTAACAGTTGTATTTGCATATTCATGAAAAGGAGTAACCCATATTCACATGAAACACATGATTGGTAAGGTATGACAGAAATATGCTCAGTTACAAGGAATATATAAAGTAATATCTCTAAAGATATTTTTGCTTAATTATAAACGTATCATGAGTTTAATATCAAGGTCAAAATCAATAAGGCAAGAAAAAGAAAACTAAAAAAACAAAAAAACAAAACAGTTAAAAGCTTTATTATTAGTTCACAAGATGCAAAACTGAGGAAAACTAAGTTCTCCCACAATGCAGACTGCATTAATTGCTTGTCATGAAAGTTGAAAGCGAATTATCCAAAATAAAATAACAAGCCAGAAATAGCAGTATGGCCGGCATTTGCAGTTGTTTTTGTTGTTGTTGTTTACCTCCATTGTCTGGTGAGCTGGAATCTTGATCTGCTTGGATCTCATCCGATCCCTCCAGGCTTCTCACCTTCCTTGATCCTTTGGACAGTTGCAGTTCAAGCTCCTGAATCTAAGCACATTGAGAAAGATGACCGTCACTTTGATTGAACTGGTAATGAATATAGTAAGCACAGAAACTATTATTTTTAGCCATAATGCCTTGCGAAATTTTCGCTGAGCAAAAAACATTTACTTTTCCATAAAGCAGCCACCTGATATTGGGCCTAGGTCTTCCTAGTCCATGCTACATGTAAATTCCTCGAAATACGAGTGGATTTGATTTATTCTTATTTATTGAAGACAACATCGCCTAAGGTTACAAAAAGAATGTGATGTTCACCATAAAATATGAAAAAAACATGACAAGGATTATTTGTTAGTGGATGGGTTGCCTACTGCACCACAAGTGAAACGGTGTTTATCTTCCAGTGTAAAATAGTAAATATATGAGTGACTTTGTTTGTCAATAGCTACCTTTGCTTCTAATTTCATCTTTTCTCTCAACTGCTCCTGTTTCATTCGTTCCTTCTCTTCTTTAAACTCCTTCTCTTTAGTCTGAAACTCCTCCTCCCTGAGAAGAAAGAAAAAGGATTACTGGATGGTATGTGGAATCAATCACACGAGTAAGTTATGTCAAACACTCAAATCTTGATCTTTATTGACTGAATAAAAGGAAATCAAAGTCGACTCTTTATGCAGGGTTTTGAAATAAAACAAATGTGAAATTTTAACCATATCCAGATGGATTTCTTTGTAACAATCATGCAATGTTGAAGGTTGATTACTACGGGCATTTATTTTAGAAGCCGAGTTTTTTCATTATGTGTTGCCTACTGTTGTATCTATCAAGTTTGTTTCATTGAAAGAAATAAAATCTTTCATTGACAGATTTTGTCTTGAGAGAGTGTCGTGGCCTGCTCACTCCTGAATACATTTTTTACATCAACTTTTGTTTTCAATTCAGATCATGCAAATGTGGTTTCCTGGTTAATCGAAACCGGCTTCATGTTTGAGGTCTTCCCTCCGCTGCAGAGCATAAATCGTTCGCATCCATTCTCCACTCCCCTCCCCCCTTAATTGGAGGAAATTCACTTTTTTGCAGAACATGAGGCAGTCGTGCTGGAAATAGCGATGCCAATGACGCAAGTATGCATTTAATTGTCAAGTACAACGTCATCTCCATAACAGTAATAAAAAAAAGCTAGGATCTCAACGACAATTTAATAGCCAGTACCAAAGTGACACCAGTTAAGTGGTTAATGCTGACAACCACCCAGCGTTTGGCAATCAGACCGGTACCCGACCGTTTCCTTTAGGACTAGCATATTATGATTGATGAGGTTTATCTTTGCCTGCCGCTAAGTGTTCTAGGCATTGGAGTGTTTACATGCAGTATATTAGAAAGCTGGAAATGTTGCTTGGGTACAACCATTGATTATAACCCTACGTAAACATATTCAACTTGGTATTATACAGTCCATTATATACACTGCACATAGAAAACTTTTTTTTCTTTTTCCAATTTCTTCATTTATATTTGAATCCCTTTACTCATGCTAACTTGTGTATGCAAAAGATTGTCCACGCTATTGTACAAAGCACCTGTGACGGATTATGCTTTTGCGACTGAAGAAAACCTCTGTGACAGAAGCAATAGCGTGCACAGATTACTTGATGTTTTGGTCAAGTTTAACTAGCAACCCCTGATGCGTTTCATTGTATACATGTATATACATGTACGTATGTACATTATTGTTACATGTACTAATGTACTAAGTTAACATCTTCTCACTATCCTGCTGCTCTTGCTATGCTCTATTGGTCTTCGTACCTGGGGGGGGGGGGGGTGTTATATATACTTTTCTACATCTCTAAGATTCTCATGAGCAAATGTTCTATTAAATACCGAAGTCTGATTGGCTGCCTTCACCAGGATTCAGGAAGACACTTTGCTCCTTCACAAACTCTCCCAACCAACAGACATATCAAACTTTTCAAAACAAGACCAACTTCCACTGACTCTGTCAGCGAGACGTTCTGCATTAGGCATTCTACTATCATCAACCTCAAATTCCCCTCAATCTACTTATTTACAACAGTCACGTGCAGTGAGTCACTAAATACATTTCTGATGGCTGGAATTGAGCCTAAGTGATGCCTAAAATTAATCAACCTTAAACTCTGAAAACAGTTCTATACTGAACTTCTAAAACAAAACAAAAAACAGGAATTATTTGTTAGGTTCAACTTTGATTTTCTGTTCAATTTGTTTTGAACTTTAACCAAAATGATTCTATCGAATTTAAACAACAAAAACAAATCTAGCTTAGTTGAATCTCTAACAATGAAAAACTAAAACCTTCAATCATAGATACTCAACATTGGAAGCTATATGTAAATGGGACCTACTGTACGCAGGAAACGATATGAACAGGAAATTTATTTTTGAAAAATTGAAAGGGACTGCCTGAATAAATATCCCCCAAAGCAGCAGCATTGGGATTAACAACAATTGAGGGAATGATAAACTCAAAAGCTATTCCCCAAATCAATCAAAATTTAATAAATATTTTCTTTGAAGTGAATGAATACTGCATTGATTTTGCATGAACAGCTGAAGATTGCTGGAAATAAAGGAGAAAGGTCAGTAAAATCACTGGATGAGAAAACAGTCTAGACAGGGAAGGCTGAAGTTCATTAGTCAAGGGAAGATGATGAGTGGCTCAAATCCGCTGTCCCATTTCAGGCAGTTTTCTAAAGTCCGTTTGTCGCATTGCCCCGATAAAAACAATTACCGTGGCACACATTTGAAGCTACCACAACTTTTTCACTGCATTCAATGCTTGCATGTTTAGAAGTGCACTCCTAAAGTGGCACATAGCCAAGCGTCCCTGACTTACTTATTCTGCATGTCTTTGATGAGTTTCTTGGCCTTGTGGTACTTCTTATCCAGCACCGAGTACTGATTCTGGTTCTCTTCAAGCAGTCTGCGGACTTCGCTCAAGTCCGCCTCAGTCTTCTCAAGCTTCTGATCCAGCAGCGTCAGTCGCTTGTCTTGAATCTCAATCTGGTGCTTCAGTCGGGTCTCTTCAGCTTCCCAACCCTGGGCCTGCATGACCTGTCATGGAGATGGGGAAAGAGGGAGATTAGGAACCAGGTTGAGCAAGTTCAGGTTGGAAAAAAAATGATCTTCATTTATCTCATTGATAGAGGGGGCTATGAGCTCTGTGCACAAACTTAGAGGGCGCTGTTTGATTACTAACAAGAGCTCCAATGTGCGGGACACACTGTGTGAGCACACAGGCTCACGAATATTGCGGCAAGTACAAACAAACAATGTGCTCAAACCTTGAACATTTTCACATAGCTGCCGAGCACACAGTGGCAATGATGCTTAAATGGCCATGATCTGTCTATTCGTCACTTCTGAAGAGGTACTTCTGCATTCAGATCTCTCTGGTAGGTTTACCTTTGTTACGGTTGTCACTTTTTTCTTATCATTTGAGTCATGGTCATCACTGTGATGGCTTCTTTGACATTTTTTTCTTTTTCTTCATGCTTTCCACTGCCTTAGGTGTCCTTTATGTCATGGTTGTTATTGTCATGGCGGCATTGTCAGGTTTGTCATGTTTTCTTGTCACACGAGTCATGTCTAACATTGACTTTGTTGCCCTTTCCATGTTTACATTTTTCATGGTCTCCTTTTTCTTCATGGCCTCCACTGTCCTTTGTCATGGGTATTGTCATGGCGGCATTGTTGTCACAGTCATTGTTTCTGGTAAAATGAAAATGCTCTTAAGAGTCTTTTTTATCACCAAGTAAAACAATCAGTTCCATCCATCATCTGTTGACTTGCACTTTTTGAATCATACACACACAAATATCCAGGTAACTGTTATATTAACAGAAGATAAAAAAGTTTGGTTGATTTAATGAGTATGGGGGTTTGTTTTTTCTTGATAAATCTCTGGACAACCTTATATGTTCAAACAGCTTGAAAGCATATAAACACACACATACAACCGACGAAAAAAAAATGTAATTTCGAAGTACAATTTCAATTTGACACCCTGTATTTAAAGAAGAATAAAAAAATGCCTGTTCTAGACTAGATGAATTATGCAGCTTGGATTCATTAGTCCTCTCCTTCAGTCCATGTCTTCGTCGGCATCCTCTGTGGGTGTCAAATAGGGGAACGGCTTTCACAAACTGTTCACATCGTTGTAAAGTTCAAAGCCATTAACCCGCCCCTGCCTCCGCAGCGTAGCGTCTCTTGGTTATTAAAAACCAGGGCATCAAAGCGTCCCTCAGATACTCAGACTGTCACGGTGCTAAGGGAGAGAGATCTTCTCGCATTTGGGGGCAATTTGGGGCAAGACAAGGGAGGACCATCAGGGATTGACTTCAGAGCCTGGAGTAAGCTGACATTTAGGGGGTGGAGAGGGAGGAGGGGGTGGGGTGGTGGGGAATGGGAGGGCTGATGCAGGCCTCCTCGATCCAGGGTATGATGTGAATTCTAAGAGGTAATAATTGGACCAAGAAAATGTTTGACTTCCTGACTTAATGATCTGACCACATCATTTACGGGACACAAGCCTAAAATATAAAAAAGGAATGGGTGACAAGAATAACTGCACTTGAAGCTTGAAGTAGAACGGGAGGAACAATCCAATCCAATGGAGCATCTTGTTCAGGAGCCAATGAGTCTTGCCGCCATTGAAAGTTGAAATAAACACCCTGGATATTTGATGCTTTGGATGGCATAATTCAATAAAATTTGCTGCTTGATTCCCCCGATTGCATTTCAGTTTGTATTAAATATCGACATAAACACGGCGGGTACTCTTTCGGAGAATATTCACGATCCAATCTGCCAACTATGACAAGATATAAAGAGAATTGGGTATTGGGTTACTGGTCGTGGGTGTGGGAATCAATGCACAGCGGAGGGACAACTTAGTCATTTTCTAAAAGTCCCTTTCAGTTTGTGGCTAGCGAGGCCTCAATAAAGCACATATACAGAGGGGAGGGGGGGGGGGGGGAGGCGGGGGGATATGGGGAACAAGCCTTGGAATTTTGTTTTTGTAAATGCCAGAATGTTTGATAAAACCAAGATGTTTGATCATCGGAATTTCATGAGCAAGCATGCAGAATGAGCTAACCTATTTTAACTACTTGTTCCATGGCATCTTTTCATCATTATCTGTAAAGTGACGAGCGTACAATTCCCCAAATGATCGTTACACACTAGGAGAATGTGGGGGGGGGGGGGGGGGGAGGAGAGGAACCATTTTTTTTATTAGATTGAAGGAAACCAAAAATAAAACAAACAAAAATAATCCAATTACTAATGAGAAAGAGACACGAATAACCAGGTAGAAAGCAGGACAGGTAAAGAGCAGCAATCTCTCTGCTTGGTTGATAATTCAAACAGACAAGTGGATGTCCTGAAGAGGTTGACATTTGACTGCACTTAATTGTTGTTTGAGAACATTAAGACACCAGACTGTACATCATTTCAACACAAGATGGGCATTTGACTAATGACCGCTGGTTACTTACATGTAGCGGTTGATTCTGAATGTATGTCGTGCCTGTACATTAACACTGAAGTGGAAATGTCTCTAGTTGAATGAAAACCAAATATCATCACAAAACCTCAGGTCCTAGCCTGCAACGCATTTTAAAAATGCACGGCTATTAATGACTAGCAACATGACCATGTTCAGCCAGCTGGTTCTAAATATCCAGCTACATTGGATTTCATGAAAGTTAGTCTAACAATTGTTTACCATAGTTCTTGATTGGAAATTCCCCAGAGCTGACCTATCAGATGTGAGTGCTGGTGCAAATCAGTGAAACCATCACCATTTTTATTGGTTTGTTTAGTATCTGTTCCTCAATAATTCTGTCATTTTTTTTTACATCTTGTTTTTTTTTTTACACATTTATTGGCAAAGATAGTAGAGAAAGGGAGGAACAACTTTAATCCATCAACCAAAAAAATGTAGATTAATTTATAAATTCCTTTACAAAAATTAGTCAAAAACATCACAAATTTAAGACTTGTTTTCAAAACAATTTACCTAAAAAACCTTGCACACCATGTGGGAATGAAGATGATCGAGATCAATTGAAACAGCCCACACTATTTTTGTTTTTAAAACGTTAACTGGAACAAATCCAGGGAAGCTGTTTGTGGGACTCCATTAAGGTTAAGAAGTCAATTGAACCGAGGGGGTGGAGGAAGGCAGTAATGGGCTTGAGTGAATAGACAGGTAAAGCTGCTTGCTTTTCATCAATTTAATACACCAGGCAACTCAAAAAAAATAAGAAAAAACAAAAAGACAAGGTTTATTAGAGTAAGTTTGGCGTTAAAACACCGTGAGGCATTTGTTTGAGGATGCTTTTATTTATCCGTGTTTGAGGGTGGGCATTTCTTGTTTGATTTATTTGCAGGGGAAACCCTTTTAGTCTGCACTGTTGTTGTTTTTTTCTGGAGGAAAAATGCAGAAAAAAATTCAGGCTTCAGAACATGGAATGTTGAAAGGGTAGCTGAGCAAAAAAACACCCCTATGTACATGTAAAAGCCAATGAATTGAGGATTGGGCATTGATTATCTGCAAATGCGGAGGTGCATATACACTTACATGTAAGTAAAGAAATTAATGACCTCCTTTGCCCACAGAGAAAAGTACACAAATGTTTAACATTAATGGCACTGAAACAAGCAAGGCCTGTACCAGGTGTGGTGTATTGACATGGGGGGGGGGGGGGGGGGGGGGGGGGGGGGGGGGTGGCACCATTTAAACAATGGTTGGGTGAATTTGACATAAGTCTGTCCATTTGAAGGTACTGTACACCTCTTACCAAAAACTATCAAATAAACCTCAAAGGGAAACTGACTAGGTGTATTATAATAACTTTTAAGTTGAACAAAGAAAAAAAATTGAGCATGGGTTTGAACCTGCATCTCCGGATTGCCGTTTGGCGCTCTACCAACCGAGCTATCCAGCCTTATGTTGGCTGTTCCCCATTTTGTTAATATCTTTGTTCAAGGGGTGCTAGTCAGAAGCCCATTTAGCCAGGGATCACGCACAAAGTCACGATGCTAGGAACATTAACAATGCTGCAAACCTGGGATTTAACAGCAAATGGGGACGACTTCGAGACAAAAAGTTTGAATGTTAAACAAAGGACAGAGGATTGTGTTCAGGAGCAATAGACGGCACTATGTAGAGAGCTTCACCAACATGAAGGAACTGGAGCCTTCACTCATGGCATGAAGTCTGAACGTGGACATTTGATTCATCTTACTGTTCGCAACCTGGTGTGTTCTTATGGGCGCCAGCCACACAACGCTAAACGGCATTCAAGAACCTGCGATATCTCTCCCATTGTCATCATTGAGGGGGTAGTTGTGCAATATCCTATAGATGGTCATGTGATGGGAAGCATTTACACCCCTGCCAAATGAGTGTGTGTGTGTGTGAGGAGGTGGGGGGGGGGGGAGGTGGTTACATGATGGCAATGTTCAGTTTTAATAATAAAGACTGTGTAGTGTGTAATAGCCAAGGTGTAAGGGGACGTTGTCATTAGGTCCCATGACCACTCCTCAATGGGACCAAGAGCTCACGTAATGGACTTGACCTTTTCAAAGTGGGAAATCGTCAGTGTTTAATGAGTGATCTGATGCAGGGATGCTGGCGCTCAGTTTAAAGTCATTGCAGAAAAAAGAAATTGGCATGGATCTTCATTTTTGCCCCTAGCAAATGGTTGTATTGATATAGGGGGGTTACACTCAAAATATATTTTCAATATATTTTAAAGTTACACAGGATCTTTTGCTTTTTGTGCGTTGCTTTCGTTAGAAGCAACACAATTGCTCAAAATCTTCAGAAGGGTCCATAACAACTAACTTGTTGAAGATTCAGCTCAATGAATTTTATACATTTCAAGAAACAGAGAAAATGTTTGCACAATTTTTGTGATCTTGTAACTGGATTCTGTTGCTTATGCATGTTAATAAACCAGCTTCAATTATTGTTTTCTTCCAAATGACACCATTTCAGGCGGAATAATTCCACACGATATTTGGTGCCAGTCCTATCTTCACTTTGAGCAAGGATTTGCTTGTTAAATTGGTAGGTACGTATGTTCTTACATGCCTTTTAGTTGTCCATTCTCCCTCCCAATGTGATAAAAAATAAAGTAGCCTGATTAAAGTTTTGGTCCTATTTCTTGGAGAACATCATTATTTCTGCACCTTTCTATTTATTGCTATCAATGTTTGGTGAAAAAAGCACACACACTTGACTTTTAAAATTGCTAACTTCTATGCCGTTAGGAACACCAGAGGTGGTATGAGTAGAAAAATTCAATACATCATGCAATGTGGTGACTATGTTGTTTTATGTAACTTAGTCAATCAAGCCCATAGCAAGACTCTTATTAAAAAAACAGAATGGTGCCTCTGACAAGGCGACTCCCTCCATACAGATTGTTAGCTCTGGCCTCTGGGGAACAGACAAAGCCATTGGTGTAAGAAGACTCTAATGGATGTGTAAATTATTTGACAGGTATTTAATGAAATATACGACTGTCAATCGGCTGATAACTTCAGGGTTTCTTGGCGTGGGTGGCAATATGACTCCTACGCTGACATTTGGGATAACATGTAATTCAACCTAAAGTGTTAAAATGGGTTATTTTCTGGTGTTTTGAGAATGAGACGTGGTGTGGGTTTACATGAGCTTTGGGCAGTCTTGTTAAATGGTAAGTTTACTGAATGCCAGAAGGAAAGTGCAGGGTAATTTGTGATGATGACTTCAATTGTGATCTGATAAATATATTGGAAAAATGAATTATTGCAAATATGACTGGTGCATTCGGGATAGCCAGAATTGAAAAGTACTCACCCTACCCCCACTTTTCTTGTCAAAAATCTGCGTAATGTATCAAAATGAAACTGGTCTGTAGATTACGGATATTTTAATGGCGGTCAGAAAATTTGGAAGATTTTATAATAGCTAAATTTTGAAATTGGCATAATTATTCATGGCTTTTCATAAAATTAAAAAAACAACAGGAAGCCACCCCCCCATTACAACGAGGCGGGAACACCTGTTTCAGCTTCTCTAGAACAAATAAACAAACAGACATACAAACAATTGCTGACAACCCTCACTCCCCCACCCCCCCAAAAATGTAGAACATTTTGATCTTTTGGGGGCATCACTGGCAGTAATGCTTCAAAAGCAACTCAAGTCAGAGTCCTGCACAGGATCAGGAACATAAATGAAGCGGAGGTGTAAGCGAGGAGGAAGGGAAGTGTGGGGGACTGTTTTTGGGTCCCAGCCAGCTAGATGTGTTGTTCAATCCGGTGAGGTCCCATGGAAGAACAAATGAGGGGCGGAAGGGGTAGCCCCAAAGCGGGGAGCACTTAGACATTAACAAGCTCAGCGGAAACAAGCTGCTGACCATTTTGGGGGGCAAACAACCTCCTACTTCCCCCTCTGAGGAAAAGAAGCAGACTCAACCATGCAATTGTTAAAAACTTTGTGGAACAATGCCAATCAGAGGAAACCTGAGTTCATTCCATTTTGGATTTTTCTTTCTTTTGTTTTGAAAATGTTTTTTTTTTCCAGTGCAATATAAACATTCTCATGCAATTGGCATTCTTCTGTCAACTGACTGATGACTTGAGATAACTTCTTGCGCTGCTATTACTGTGGGACAAATGCCAAACAGATTAATATGGAGTTCACTTATTTTCTACAGTTAAACAGCAAAAACAAAAACGATTTATTGTGCAATCTCAACATTTCCAGGCACATGGCATGCTTCTTTAGGGAGTTACTACTATTGATATATCTCCTAGGACAGTGCAGCCAAGTTGACCGTGACTGATACACGGTGAAAAAAAACCAACCACACGCCTGGGGCTGATAAATGAGCACATCCATGGAATACCTCCATTTATTACCAATGTTTTACGATCAACGATTGCAATTTGCCTTTCTATGCTCACGTCATGTCACTGTGCAAATCACAAACATTCCAGAAAAAAATGTTTTCTGACAGTCAGAATGCAAGGACAAGTCTGGAGTGAATTAAAATAAGGGAGATTTAAAGACTGGAGTGAATTAAAATAAGGGAGATTTAAACTCTTCTGTTGTCTTCTTTGAACTGGAGACTTGGTTTAAATGGGGATGTACACATTCTCATCTCAATTCCTTAATTTGAGGGCACAATGTTTCTTTTTGTGATGAGGAGTAAAATAAAAGAAAAGGTCCACGGTGTCCTACAATGATTAGCGCTGATAGGCTCAGGTTGGATGCTAATATTGAATTCATCTATCTCCTGGATGGACTGTGAGGTACTGGTGAATAAAGTTTTAAAGCTATAGTCCATCATTTGTAATTTCTGCATTTTGCTCATTTGAAGCAACAAAAGTGCTCAAAATCTAAAGAAGGGTGCTGAACAACTAACCTGATGAAGTTTCAGCTCAGCTTCAGCTGTATATTTCGAGAAAAACAGCATTCTAGGATCTCGATTTCAAATCAAAAGTTGCTGGATCATGTTTTGAATTGGGCCTGAATTCAGCGTCCGAGACACGTTCTCACTGAGCCGATTGCAGCTACGCGATGTCGCGCACCGATCCGACGAATTATAGCAACCGCACGCGCGTGTGCATCGTGTCAAGGCTTGTGCGCGCTTCGCCGAATAAAATAATGAACTACTAATGGAAATTTCCAATGGTGCTTCTTAAGACGCATCGTTGGAAAGGCCTTCTTTTGTTGATTTCTTCAGAATGACAGCTTGCCAGAAAGAATAATTTCACAGGGAGTTTAGTCCCCTTATACTATCTTTCAACCAAGTATGTTTTTCAACAATAATTACGCCAGTTACTTTTTGGATAGCTGCAAATGATGGACTCGGGATTTAAATGATTGTCAATAATGTCTAAATTAATATTCCACTGAACCAAAAAAAGTTGACTTATTCGAAGATTTGAACTGATGACCTGCAAACACCATTCTGGTGATCTACCAAGTGAGCTATCCAGCCCATCGTCATACTTCTACCAAATTAACCTAGCATTGTACACGTGTGGTTCTCTGTCTGGCATATTGCACAGCCTATCCAAAGAGAACAGAACTTATGTAGTATCCAGCCCTACCTATAGTGCAAGCTCAATCATGGACCATAGGTCGACTAGTGTTGATTGGTCAGGTAACTTACGCCTGTGCACTAACAGCACAGTGTGAACATCTCTAGTTTAAAGGGAATATACAACATTTGCAAACATCGAAAAATAAAACTACCAAGTTTTTACAAAATACCTTACTAGGATGTTGGTAAATGACAGTATCAAGCATCTTGTAAAATTATGGCACCTGGTGTGAAGTCATTTTCAAGAAAATGGTATTTTTGTATACATTTCCAACGGTGGTCGGCCGACCAGCGTTGGAAAAACCTAACTATTTTTCAAATACTACTCCAAATTTACCATTTTTTCAGTCCAAATTTTGTTTGCTATTGGTTACATGTTCATGAACGGGTGCAGGCCAGCTAGATTGGTTACCTTGCCTTACAATTTTTCATTATCTATAAATTGATTCATTTTATCTTTTGTGGAGTCAGGGAACCAGACTACTTGAACATTTTTGTTTTTCATGGTTTTTCCAGCATTTTCGAACACAAAACTTCAAACATGTCAGTGTAACAATATTTGATCTATTATAAGCCCTCAAATAGTTCATTTCCGAAAATTACAGCAAAAGCGAATGATGTACATTCCCTTTAAACAATGATCAAAACGTCCCTTGATGCGCATGGATACTGTAATCAGCGATGTGAACAACTTTGGCAAGCTGGTTGCAAATGGTCAGTAGACGTGTCCAACTATCAAGATAGTTCTTGCTCAAGTTTTGTAAGTGTTCTGTGCCTACCTGTTAGTGCAATGTACATGTCTAGTACATGTCTACCTGTAGTGCATAATACTCTGGCGGTACAAGAAAACCTTCAGTTCATGTCTAGTACCTATCCTACCTGTATTTTCAGCTTGGCAATCTCAGCCTCAGCCACAGCGTTCTTGTACTGTGCTTCCTTCAGTTTGACCCTCATATCAGCCAGTGCATGGTCTGGTGCCTGGTCAGACGACGGTGATGTGGGCTTGCTGGCTGAATCACTGCTAAGGCTTTCGTCCAGATCAAACGTGTCAATGACCAATCGGCTATCCTCGTCACCTTCTGAGGACTCGTTGAGGGTGTCCAGCTTCATGTCGTCATCATCTGGTGATGGCTGGATGGGGAATGGTAAACACACAAGTATAAACCAAAGAATAAGAGATTAGCAGCTTGCTCGGTATTCATGAATGGTTGCATTTATCTCTACCAAGGGAAGCTATTCATATACCGTAAATCACAATGAAACTAAACCCCTCATAAAAGCAAACTAAAAACAGGACTAGTTAGCCATAGTTTTGTAAAAGAATACAAAACATTAAAAGTCCCTCTCCATCCAATTAACCCAATGAAACACTGATAATCATCAATGATTACTTTTAATAAACGTTTAAATATACTGAAGCAAACAACAACAAAAGTAAAGTAAACAAAATTTAAAACAAAAACATCAAGAGTACAGAGCAATACAACAAGTTAAACCACTTCCTACATGTAATTCTCATGCGCCCAGCATGTCTGTATTATTTTCCTCATTAAAAAAAAGAGGTGTTTTTTGGTATAATGCATACATGTACCTTTGCGTAACTTAGAAATAATAGTAGTAATAATAATTACCGGCAATGGGGCAATATGGAGACTTTCCCACAGACTTGTGCACAAAAATTTTCCGATTTAAATGTGCCCTAACCCAATATTCCCTTGTCCTTTTTCCACGAATTTCGGTATTTTTACTAATTAGACCACGAGCAACAAATATAACCCAATTGCGACAGCAAAATTTTGTCTCTAAAGGGGGGCTGCGCCAATAGGGAGACACCTAGGTGTCTCCCTATTAAGCCCGTGTCTCCCTACTACCGAATTTTCTACGCTAACGTGTCTCCCTAAAAGTACATTTGTAGGAATAATGATAATACCGGAGTCTTACAAAGCACACGTATTTACCAACAATTAGGTACTCAAGGTGCTAATTTATACCCATGACATCCCTCCCAAGACAAACATTCAAAGGGGATTTTGACAATTAAAAACAAATTTAAGTTAAAAATTTATTGTCAGCTAAAGCTCTGTGGTTTGAGTTAGGGGTACTGAGGAATTAATTATTACAGAATTCCTTCATTAATCAAGGCTGACATGACCATGTACTTCTATAACCCATTAACAACTTCAGACTTGGGGCCTGTTTGCAATACTCAGAGTTGTTATTTTTGTCAACAAAAAACAACAGAGGGCGGTGGACAGGTTAAAATGATTACCTCCAGAACAAGGCCAACACGTGCTTTCATTAAGTGCAAATGGCTTTCTGGGCAAAATGACAAGATGGCTACGTCTTTTTTTTTTCAATTCTGGATAATACTAACAATCATCAGGGAGTTGAACATAACAACATGACATAAGCACCATCGATATATCGAAATTTTTGTCGAAATAAATCTCCCATTTATGTTTTTACTTTGTATTTATCGTTTGCTGTATAATGAAATAAAGTCGGTGGCAACTTGTGCCCCAAAATAAAAACATCGTGAAATGCCAAGTGGCTGCGCTTTGTGCTCTGCATTCGCTAGAATTCACGGTCTCCCCCAATGTAAAACTATAAAAAAACATATAAAAAAAACGCCTGTTCTGGGCAAACTCTTAGTGCTGAGATTTGTTTTAAAGTTTGAGCAATATGCTCCAGAGAAAGCCGTGGAAACTTGGGACTTAAGATTGTTTTGTTTTTTAATCAAAGTGTTTAACTTTTATATGGGATAATCAATAATCGAATATTTTCAATATTAGATTTCCGATATATCAATTTTTGACAATTCTGATATCGACAGTGCTTAACATGGCATGCAGAAATATATTGACAACATGCATCAACATCAAAGGAATATTTTCAACGGAACTCCTTTTTTCAAAAGTTGCACACGAGCCAACGCAATCCAACGTAATCCATCTACCAAGGTACATCACAGGCACGTCACCACAGCAACCATCCACAGGCGTGTCCATCATGCCACATGTGACCATATACTCACAAAGCCATTGGCTCTCCTGAAGAGAGAGGAGGGGCTATAGCTGTTGTAGTTATAGGGCCATACCATTGACTCGGGAGGGCTTTCTACCGGAGTGGTTTCCCTCATGTTTTTGTCGTTCTGTAGAGATTGGGAGATGAGCTGAGCCACTTCACTGTTCTCGCTGTCCTTCTCCCGACCGATTAAGAATCTGTAGGATTGAGGACAAAGCAAAGGACAAACAGTTAAAATTGATGTACTCATGAGCCAATGTCCTAATACAGACAAACCCAGGTATGTGATCACTGTATCGTATGCTCACTAAACCCCCTTCAATGGATAAATCATTGTGCGCGCTAATGTATAAACAACAGCCCTGAGACAGATTATCTAAACAACAGCCCTGAGACAGATTATCTGAACAATAGCTAGCACAATACCTTAGCCATTGAAGGGGGCCACCGTGATAGAATTGAAAACATGCCTGGATTGGTCTACAGGCACTTTAGCCCCTGCATGAAGAGATTTTCCAGAATATAACTTGCCAGGATTATGGAAAATTGAAAATTGAGGATGAAAAAAAAAACAATCAAACGGAGTACATGGCATTGGAATGATCATACTGGTATTCAGCGGTGCACCCAGGATTTGGCTGGGGGAGGGTCGGGGGCTCACAAGTTTTAATTTGTTTTTAAAAATGTTGCCCCAAATTTTTGGTCGCAGAAAAACAATCTTTTTTGGGGAGGGACCAGACTATTTTGACGTTGATGGTGCCATTTACACACGTATTATACTACTCGCAAATAAGCCACATACATATCACCACAGTCAAAACGTGGGATTAAAAAAAGTCCCCCTCCCCCTCCAAAAAAAAAAGTGGATGCACCATACATTGTTTTTCCCAGAAAGAAGTAACACACACAAAAAAGATGACATACTAAAACAAATTTTCATGAAAACTTCCTTTTGATATAAGAAAAAGAATGTGAGAGAAACGACTTGTGATGAATTACATTTTGTAATTTCTGTGCAAGGTAAGTGACTGATTTTGAATGAACAAATTACAAAATATGAAGAAGAAAAAATGAGCTCAGAAATAAATGATTGCATTTATTGCCTGTGGCGACTAAAGATGGACACTTTATTACGACTGTAAGGTCAAATCTATTATACAAAATTAAAGAGGATAGGAGAAGAGTTAATAAATAAATGATCATTAATTTACACAAATTATCTCTGCGAAACCTAATAACAATCCAATTAAAAAGTGCACAACGGTGACAAAGACAGGCCATGCCACTGAATTATTAGTTATACACTCGCCTACACTTTGCCAGTGTGTACTTCAAATATTAAAAACTCAGAAGCAAAGAAAGTGGAAGTGAAATGATCACTGCACGTGCCTAAAGAAATCATCAACATATTCATCTGCAAAATTGCCAGTGTCAAATTCAACAGTCTGGATGTTGCATTGGAGTAAACAGCAATTGACAACAGAAACAAAGCAACGCTGAAATTGATATCTAAATAACAGTTCTATTCCATGCACAGACAAAGGTCAGTGTACTTTTTCGCTATCTAAACCGGCTTTCAATCACAATTACCGTCATGTAGTTGGCGCTACAGGCAATTCCCTTAATATGCATCCACGACTTCACATAAGCCAATTTTAGGTACACATTTATGTGAGGAGCCCTGATCAAGTTATCGGCCGTCCTTGCAAATGCCTCATCAAACAAAACGTTAACCAAGTCCCTTTTAATATAATCCATAAAACGGTACAGCGGACAATATGAAGGTAGTGTGTACTTTGTGAATAGCTTCAGTTTAAAGCAATTCCATCTGCAATAACTTTCATTTAATATGAAAGGGATAATGATGGCAATAATGGTCATTTCCAATAATGCTTCATATGAGGCACAATAAATCCTCAGTCATGAAATACAATTGGGTTGATTTTCTTTTTTAAATTGAGAGCAGTCGTTTCTGTTGCTCTTTGTTTTAAAGTGTTCTTTTGAACTATGTCTATAATGGTTGTGAGCAGTTTTAGTGACTTTTTGTTTAGTTGACGATAAACAACTATTTTTAAGTTAAGGTTAACACAAATGACAGAAGTCACACCCTACATGTACCGATCCTCTACTTATATGAGCTATCCATCTCTCTGTTGGTGGTCCCAATTTGTCAATGTCTTCATTCTAACTTCTTCTCGCATTAAGGACAAAATTTAACTCAAATATCAAACTTTTTTCGAAATGACAAAAGAATCATACAACCCAAGATACAAAATTCTTAACGACCTGAAATTTTTCAATCTAGTTTTGCCTAGAATCAGTGGAATGTAAAACCACTTGTACAGAGAGAGCCTCACTGATCACGTGTTTCTTTATCTCACATTGTCCATATTGTTTTTCACTCCCTTCAGGATCGGTAATAGTTCTTGGCTAATATTGCCACAACTAAGCCAATCGAGCGTTCAAGTTATGTCATGTGATCTACACTAGTAACTGCCGGTTCCTGCTAGCAAGAAAGAGTGACCCCAGATTCTGTTACTGTAAGCACGCTGTAAGGCTTGCTTCAACTTGAACAGGAATGCTGAGCCATTGTACAATTGTACAATGGGAATGGGAATGGAAGACAGCCATCTGTCAAATTTCGATCAAATTCATTTTGCGAGATTGATGTGATTTTTGTAAAACTTTGATTAAAGGGTTGGATTCTAATTTAAAGAATGTACATGTAGTTCAAAAACTGACAAAAAAATGTCAAGGCTTATAATAACTCGCCCACCACCAAAAATACCAACAATGTTCATAAACAAACCAAAAACAAGTAAAAATAAATAGGGATTGTTATTTTTTATTATTATTTTTTTTAATTGGACGGGGATTTATGACTGGAATTACAGACATGGATCTGTGTATCTGAAATCTCAGGCCAAATTGAAAATATTTTAACCCTGCTGAATCCAACAGGATTCGACTATTCTACATCTCTGTTGGATCCTGATGGAACTGAGCAGTAAATCCCTTGTGTACCTGTTGAAATCTGCTGGATTTAGTATGTAACTTAAAGGGAACATAGTTGGAATTTGTTGGATTAAGCAGGCAACAGAAAACATTCATAGTCAGATTCTGTTGGGTGCTAGTAAATAACGCCAAGTTGGACTCAGTTGGATTCAGCAGGCAACCAATAATATGGACAGTTGGATTGTGTTACATTCTGTTGGACTCAGCAGGCAACAGAAAAATAAGGCAGTTGGATTCTGTAGGATTGAGCAGCAGTCATTTTATATTTTCAGGTACCCAACAACTTGGTATGTTGTATTGTGTTTGACTGTGTTGGATTGAGCAGGAAACTATGAGTAACCGTCGGACTGTGTTGGATTTAGCAGGGTACCGTACTCCTGGGGAACTATTACGGGGTTAAATATTTTGTCCTTCCCCCATGATTGAACCAGCCCTAGATCTATTTTTATACAGTGGCTGTCTCCTTCATAAGTAACAATACAAATGAACACTGAAGTGTGTGAAGCATTTGCTAGCCATTTCGTTGTTCCCATGTGATTGCAATTATCGCGACACAATTTTTCAAAAAGCGCTTCCTGTGAAAGTCCTTGACGATTACGTGCCAACACGTTCGGCGTACAATGTGGGTCCAATCATCATCAATACGTTTGGGGCGGGCCGCCAATTAAGGCTTACTATGTTGACATCTGTTTGCCCAGGCCAATTAAAACTAGTCAGGGCCAATATTGACAAGCTGAAAATATAGGTGCACAAATCAAATGTCGCTCCCAGGAAATTGCAATTGCTGCAATTATCAGAGCTGACGCTCTGGTACTCTGTAATAATTTTTGCTACCGCAGAAAATTTCGAAGAAAAAAGGGGGCAGATCTGATTTATTAAAAATCCACTTCCTGAAAAATGATGAAGAAACAAGACCATTTCTATTTAACTAGTAAAGGAACATCACTAATCCTTTGTTCTGGTTGGGTTCAAAGTCTACGGATGAACGAATGGTTTCAAACCCATTTGCTTTCCTACAATGGCACTTTTAATCTGCACCCCAAACATGCCAAACGCACATGTGCACAAGGCATATACAAAAAAGTACTTGCTATCGGTTTTCTGATTTTGGTTTGAGGGTGGATGGCCAATGTTAACTCCGCAGGGTATTGAAACTAGTTTCCTCGGCTTCGCCTCATAATAGTTCCAATACCTTCCAAATATCAACTATCTACCCTCAAATCAGGAAAACTAGAGGCTGACATTTGATGGTGACTGTACCAGTGAGATTTCAGCTCTTGATCATATGTATACGTGTCTACATGTCATCTACACCTTTAAACAAGCACTTCAATAACCAGTTTTCAAATTCATTTCAGACATTTGCAGCATCCATGCTCTTGACCCTAGCAATCGCTATCACTCATTTGACAGGACCAGCAGGGTCGCGCTCTTTCTCTGATGACATTAATGCAAGCCAGTCTCAACACATGTCGGAATTCTCCCAACAAAAATATCTGGGATTGTGACGGCCCAAGACGAGGAGAGTGTTACAAGGAGGCATGGGGCATTCCTCAGATACTGGAGGGAGGTTTATTTTAGCCGAAGGCAGCCTGATGGACTGAGCAGGGTAACAAGGCAAAGCAATCAGTTTGCGTGGCTGACCCAATAAAATCCACGTAACCATGACGGATGGATAGCGGTTGAAGGTGATTCTGTCGGGTAAGTTTCACATTAATGCTTCCATTACGCTTGCTGGCCGGCGATAATAAATTGCCTCAACTTTGGACCAATCAAAACACTGCTCACACAGTGATGTCGAGAATGGAGCTCCAAGTCTATTTGGGTTGGAATCACATTTCCTAAGTCCTTGAAAATCTCTTCTTTAACCAAACCTTAAATAGCACTACTAAGACTATTACAGCCATTTCTGAAATGTTGACTTCATTCCAGTCTTCCATTGTTTCTTTACAACCATTTGTAAGCTTTACATGTTTCAACCAATTGGAAAGACTTTGGCTTTGTATTACAGTATTTAACATTCCCACAGCAAAAACTGTTCCAGTACTGAGCCTGTATCTCAAAATCCAGGGGCCTAAAATCAAGAGGCTGGAGCCTGAAGCCAAACCTGCTCATGACGCCTAGATTTGAAAAATGGCAAAAAGCTTCCTAATGTCCCTTTGCCCTTATTTTATCTCATTTA